TGGGATTCCCGCAAGTACAATTGCACTTGTACTTGGCTACAATTTTAAAATCTAAAGATAGGTTTTCAGAAGAAAGTGGTTTGAATGTAAACAGTAAAAGATTAAAATCATGCGAGTTTCCTCCTCTTTATAACGAATTTTAGACCAATCTAACCTCAACATAACAAACCTCAGTTCAACGAATTACTTGATATACGAATATTTTCTTGTTCCCCTCCGTTTGTATGAGGTGCACTGTAAAAGGTTTATATCAAAATTCAAAATCATTTATTAATATAGGTAACACAATGTACACTTATGAACGTCAATAAAGAAATACATATTAAATGCTTCTAATTGTACATTTACTGTCAGTTCTAAAATCGTGGGCGTAGAACGGAAGAGAAGAACTGGCACCATGTTCCACATGACATCTTAAGTAATTAATAATAATAAAATAAATTAAAAACAAAGATTTGTCCTCTATCAGCTGGAGGCATGGTGAAATAGGAGCACGCACTTACATACCCGTGGGAACAATACCCATCAAAAGCATAAAAACATTGAAATAAACCAAAGCATTTTAGGTTGACCGCTTTATATTACGTTATGTAGTGTCAAGTGTGTAGTGTATCAGGCCGAGCACTGACAGTTTAACTCAAGTGCCGTTAGTCTGTTCTGTGGAGCCTCTCGTACTTAACCACGTCTTAACCCTTCACCCGACCACGATATCACAGAAACCTCTCACTGCACCCAATACATCTCCAGCCTTTTACTACAATTGCAATTTGGTACTAGTACAGACCCGTCAATGTATAGTTAGTAAATACATGCCCACGTGATACTGAATTGCGATGCTTGTTAATAAACGATAGGAATGTCTTTGAGCAGTTGAAGTGAGATGTTGTCAAAAGCAGAAATGAATGTGTTCTACATACGCTATATTATTTAGAGTGACATATTCATTTAAAACCGTTCGGCTCGAAAGGGAAACTTGGAGACGCAAATTTTACTACGTATAAATTTTTCCTTGTATATTACGAATATTGTTGTTTTCAGTGATGTTTTTAACGTAAATGGACCATTATATGAAGCTTTTAAGCACACTTTATTAAAGCGGGTAGTTTTATGAAGAAATACATAGAAACGTAGTTTTGGCTTTTGTTTCTGAAAACAATGCGGTGTACGTGATGTAAATGCAAAGTTTGAAAATGAACAAGTTCGTGGCGCTCTGAGGCACAAGTTATGTCTGGGGCTGGGGTACCTCCACACAAAAAGATCTAAACTATTCAAGTTACTTACTAATCATTACATATTTGGCTCAGAACAATGTCATTAAAAATATGTATTCCTTAGTCAATGCTACTGACAGAACCCATAGTAGATAAGTATTCCTCGTTACAAATAAAGTTTAAATATTGAGTAGGTAATCTTGCAATGTAGACAAAATACTTTGCTATTTACATAAATAAATGTAAATGACAAATAACATATTCAAATTCAAAATCATTTATTCGTGTAGGTAACATAATGTACACGTCAATTAAATAAATACTTATAAAACCTCGAATTTTACATTTACTGTCGGTTCTCAAATCAAGGGCGTAGAACGGATGAGAACTGACAATAAACTCTCCGCTACTCTTTTTTTATCGCTAAGTTTTTTGTTTTACAAATGTTTGTAAGGAGCTGCAACCATTACACCATGTTCCACATGACATATTTAAGTAATTAATAGTTAATCAATGATAAAAAAAATCTCTATCAGCAGTAGGCATGGTGAAATAGGAGCACGCACTAACATTCTCGTGGAAACTACACGCAATAAACAAAACAATTTCCATATTGCCAAAAAGATTACGAAAAATAAGATTGTTTGGTTATAAATGAGGGAAACAATAACTAATAATAGATATTTTTTTCTTACATCTACCCCTAACCTTCACCCCTCTACACTCCATTCACCCCGGCTCCGGAAATTACTAGTCAAGACTTGGGATTGCTTGGCGTCTCCGAGCTGCCAAAATGTTTATAATTACTGAGCTTTTATTAACTTGTCCCAACAATATAATTGTTATTACTTCCCCTTCTATATCTTTGACAAAAGTAGAGCTTTGACAATCTACATATTTACAATATACGTTTTTACGTTTTAGGACATTAGTTTACATTATTATTATAGTTTATATAATACTTATATATGGTATGGTATATGGTTGGTGGACTCAGTTTCCGCAGTTAGACTCGTACTCGGTCCATTGTGGGTAAAGTCCTGGCTAACTAAGCCAGCCTAGATCCTTCCAGAAGCACAGAAGTCTCCTGGGCATTTTGCAGGCTTCACGGAGCGACTTCACTGTTCCGAGGATTTCTGCGCGTTGTTTAGCCACAGCCTCGCATTCCAGGACTACGTGGGTGGCTGATTCTTCTGCGCTGAAACAGCCTCTGGACATGGGACTGTCTGTCGCGTATAAAATACTTAAATAGAAGTACTAGAGGAAAGTATTTTATTGAAGACAATGTCTGACTTTAATTGATTAACTAAGGTTCTACAAATCTATTTAGCCACAGCAGCTAATATTTATCTAAACCTTACATTGACGCGTATATATGTAGTGCACAAATTTATGCTTCGACACAAATTAAAAAGAAAGTAGTGTATTCTGATTTCCATAACATACTCAGATGTGCATGATCAGAGAATAGCAATATTTAATTTAAATGTGTGGTTAGGACTCGCTCCTTACACGCGTACGCGAGCATACACGCAATCATCAGATTAACGCACTACACTTATCTCTGCGAACGGACACATGTTTTATATCACACAATAAGGGAACATACGTTTAAGGATGTTTTAGGAATAACTGGTATTTGTTGCGGTAACAAACAAAAAGAATCGCTATTCATTCTAAGTCTTCATAACGTTCCATTATTTGTTTAAATGACGCCTAAAATTTGTTCTTATTCAATTTAGAAGATAAAATATCTACAAAATTGGAAATATATAAAACACTACACACGAAGACAGCAGAGGCATACAATGTTTTGAGTAACGTTATGTGGAAAAAGGAAGGTGCTGCTCTTCCTCAACTACCAAAAGCCCATTTTTTTGAATGAATGGGACCACACTGTTGGCCTGGAGGGCCTTGCCGGAAGGTCTGTACCGATTACGCCGAAGATATATTTTGCGGCCTGAAGAATTTCAGTAGCGCAGTTTAGGGTATGACGTCACAATAGTCGTAGATTATAGGTGTCGCTACAGTTACAAATTGTCTGCTGTGGTTTGGCTTAGTGGTTGTGCTATTGCTTCAAATATCAAATATCCATTTGGCATATAATAACCGTTTCTATTAACCTCAGCTCATGTTACAGACATTGAAATCTGATGTATATCGAACTATCGTGATCAATTGATTTTTATCAAAAATTATTTCAAAAATGTATAACTTCAAATTAATATTCATACTTGAAAGAGTCAAAACAAACCAAAAGAAAAATAAATACTGTTTTTAAATCTACATAATTTTCTGTGTTCCTACAAAGTACTTTCAAAATTTGCGAGTTTTAAAAAGGTTGCATAATATAAGTATTCGTTCGACGCAGAAAGAGCAACAACAGCAGCTACTGCAAGGCGCATGCACACAAGGAAGAGCAGCATTGTTGCCATTATCCAGAATTCCACACTACAGCAATGATTTTAAGTAGAACTATATGATTCTAATTTAAGATTTTTGTTTTAATTTTGAATCTGATTAATATTAACCCAATCATAAATGAGAATTTCATTTGGTCCTCTTGCATTTGTCTATATATTTCTTCTCATTGGTCTGGTTTTGGGACAAGTCGTCTACATTCAGCGCTTTTAAATTATAGTATTATTATGTTCTGTGTATTATCAAACATACAATTTTATTCGGACAACGGTCTGTCAGCTAAGTCTCACATGATCTTCATGCTACAAGTCTGTATAAGACCAGACCAAGACTTTAGAGATATTTAATGAAGACATGAAATGATTGTGCCGAATACCGATTCTAATAATTCCCTGTTAGAGCTTAATTAGGTATGAACACATAGCATTACTGCGATTGCCCCAGCCGTGCACTAGTTTACAATATATTGCGATCCAATTTCAGCATAAACGCTGAACAATATCTCAAATGAAATTTCATCGGATATTCTGTTACGAGTCTGTCTGTATAATAATGTTACGGAATGTCGCGTCGCGGTAACTCGGCTGTGTTTACAACAGTGACAATATGCATAATAAGAATATTTGCCGACTGGTTCTCATACATTACGGTTTGCGCTCGCGGCGATTATCTTTTGCTTTCTGGGCATGTATTTTATATTTAGGTACACCCAGATTAAATTAAATCAATGTGTAAGCTCATAAATTCATGCATTATTGTGTGCAACACATGGACACATTCTATTTAAGTATGTCTTTACACTCCGTTGCAGTTATACAGAAATACGATAGCGATCTCTCCCAAGCAACAACTATAAGAAGAGAAAATAATTAGCTAAGGTCAGCGCAATATTATTATTATTTATTATTAGTTTATATTATGTTAGAAAGAGTGAATCTGGTATACCTGTTAGTAGAGTGAAATTATCGCAATAAATAGTTAATTGTTATAGTTTGCTTTGATTTAAGTTATTGCCTTGCAAACATTGTTTTATCTTAATATATTTTAAACATTTTGTCGCGGTTTACTTTGCTATATCAGAATAACATAACTTTTAAGGAGACAGATACAAGTTGTCGTAAACATCAGGAATATGAGCAGTATACACACAATGAACATCCCGATCCCGGTCTGGAGATACAACTCCAATCCACTAAAATCGCAGTCCATCCGCTACGTGACTGAGCGTCGCGTAGGCACGTTTGCCCCCCTGTCCTACAAAAAAAGATAATATAGCGTATTGTTTAAGCTATGCAACAGATTGTTAGGCTTTCATAATTAGATTGATTCAAGACGATACAATGTAAAATCTTTATAACGTCGTTCGTTATGCCGAAGAACTGTGGGAACTTGTGGGACTCGAAAATTTACCCAGGAATTAAACAATGTTTGATAGGCGCTATGCTCGCATGCCAAGAGTCTATGGATAAAAGGCAAAATAGCTTTGAATTGTACGGAGCTGACTTTATGTTAACTGACGATTTTACTCCATGGCTTATTGAAATCAATTCGAGTCCAGATTTGGCACCGACTACTTCAGTCACAGCGCGCTTGTGTCCGCAATGTCTTGAAGATGTCATAAAAGGTATCTTATAGTTTCTATAATTATTATTAAATTCAACAAAGTTAATTACTTATGATACCTTTCTTTTAGTCGTCTTAGACAGACGTTCGAATCCTGAAGCTGATACAGGTACCTTTGAACTGGTCTATCGGCAAGTTATACCAAAAGCTCCAGCATACCTTAGTTTACAACTATGCATTAACGGTAAAAGACTTATAAAGAAATCCAAAGAGAAGAAAACTGAGCACAAGTCTGTAACGCCGTTTCCTACACCAATACCCGTGGGAGATATTATACTAGATCCTGGTCAACCGGTTCCACCAGAATACAGTGGACCCATAATTACAGATTTTCTAACTTGGCTCAATCCATACGACGCTTTACCTACCAACAAAGATGGCATTCTAATAGGCCAACGGGATTCACTGACGGTACGCCAAACTGTTAATGTTGTGAATTCAAGTAACATATTTAAAGCATCCAAAAAGCGTAAATCATCTGCGCTCTCTTGTAGGACTCATCGAGGAAGACGCGAAAAAAATTCAGAATCCAAACGACGTATTAAGCCCCACTTAACGTAAAAATGAGTTAAATTTGTTTGGTTTAACACAAAACCACTATCACTTCTTATAACGCAACAGCCACTGTCTATTACGAAGAAATATTTTCATATTTAGACATCAACAACATACTTAAGTGTAATTGTTTTATAATCAGATTACAAACTAACTTATTGACACCTGAGGTCATAAACAGCCTTCTCGCCTTGGTTATTGTTAATTATATTAACACGTGTGCCATTATTCTTAGATTACATTGCCTGTAGGAAATTTTGGTCTCAGTTACTAAACGCACCATCGTCACCTATCGTGTATTACGTCAGGCAAAGTTAGCAGAATATATGTGTTTAGAATAATTTACCTATTGATAGTAATAAAATTAGAAATTATTATAATTGGTTAAATTTGTTTTTTTTCTCTCCCTATAACGAAAAAAATGCTCGGTCCCTTGAAATTCGTTATAGAGACTTTACACTTTTTTTTTCTTTTTTTTATTAATATTTTCTAGACAATTCCCAGACTATGTAATCGTCGGAGGTATTAAATGGCTTACGTAAATGGTATCGGTAACCCGAACGATTAAACACTACTACCTATTTCTTTTAACAACTTTTTGTATGACCCTTATAGCAAATCCTAAAAAGATGCCCCTTAACCCAACATTGAACATTATTTCCTTTAAATTCGAGACTTTACACTGTATATTATGTATTTTGATTTTAATTTCTTATTCCACTCTGACAGCATACTATCTACCGTCGAGCGAAGAAGCGATAGGTTGCTAGGTTAATGGAAATATAACTTTATGTAACCTATGTATGTGACGCAAAATTTTCCATCAAATTAGTTCTCATAATGTACAACGTTGTTAGGTGAGTCACGAAGCAATAAGGAAATGACTTCAACAAATAAGCGAAGACCGCGGTTCACCCTCTTCTTTTACCGAATCACACAATAAATCCTCATAAACATTATCCGAGATGTATTAGGAAAAAACGTGTTCAACTTTTACGGCTCGTATGCCAAAGACAGAGAAAGATTTTATAGATCTTGTGACTCGATTTGAAATCTTTATCTGAGTCTAAACGAGATTAACGCCTCCATATTTCAAAAATGTATTTATTATTATCGTCAAACTTTACTTATGCGAATTATAAGTTAAGTTTAGATTCTGAGTCTTACACTGTGTCTCTTTCAATTATAAACATTTTAATACAAATAACCAGCTGCCCCCGCGAACTTCATTCTCCTTAATGTGATTTCCTTAGCCTACCTTTTTAGTACATACCAACTTGTAACATTTTCTATACTACCCCAGAGTCTGTTACATTTTCTGGAATGACAACTTTTTATTTCTGTCTATTTTTCTCTATATAAACCTCAGCGTTCAGGTCATAAGATTTTAATTAACAAATAAAAAATAGGGGTTGATCGTACAGAAGTGAAAATTAGGGGTGGTATGTATTTTTGTATGCTGTATCATAAAAAAATAAAAAACAAAAAAAATTGCCAAATAAATAAAAATAAAATGTTAGGGGTACAACCCTTATCACTTAGGGGTATGAAAAATAGATAGTAGCCTATGCATATGCATATAAAATTTGATAAAAAGCTAGCCGTTTCGGAGGAGTATGGTAACTAACATTGTGACACGAGAATTTTATATTTATAAGATGTACCTATTCGTTTTTGTACAAAAGTAATAAGTTCTATTAATAATTATCATGAATATAACAGAATAAACACTACTTACAGAGTTTGACATATTTGGTAGTGGGCTGACCAATTTTAAAAAAAGCACTGCTAAGCACCTATCTGATACCTAATCCGCTGTTGTGCTAGTTATTTTTATGTTTACTATTATTGTCATATATTTTAGAAAATATAGCTTGTAACATACTGAAGATGTAGCATTATGTATAATGCGATGAACTTAATACATTAATAAATACTTATAATTTTTTTACTGTTAGATGTTTTATAAACAAAGCGTCCAGATTTTAGGAACCCAGTAAAGTGGTTGCTGTAGCGATCCCCGTGGCATATATCACAATCAAAAGTACTGAATATATTAATAATTTAACTGGTGAATATATCACAGGGGCGAAATCAATTATCCCGGTATAAATAAATAATCACCGAGTGGATATTTGCACATCAAAGATTTACATTAGTACCGGAGAGGATTCGGGTGACATGCTCTCGCCAAACTTTGCTGAGAAAATTCTAACTCAGGTAGTTGAAGCGAGATACCAAAATATCACCTACCTACTTGTTGAGTTTGTAAACTTTGACATCACAATATTGCACTAAATTGTTACTCAATTTCAAATAGTAAGGCATGATATCTAATGTGATAATATTAGTTTTTTATATCTGTAATACAATACACAATAACAAAATAATATTTTTTTTGACTGATGGTCTCGCGGACTATTCATGTCTTCTATAAAACTGTAGTTCAACATCACTTTGCTCTATTGTCAATAGTTTCCGCAGGCTCCGCGATTTAGGAATGTTTATTAATTTTTTGTACACCTTGGGTTACACTATCGTAACTAAAACTTTAAAAAAAATCTATAGCTTATATTCATCATTCATAACGTAGGTTTCTAACCGTTGAAGAATTTTTCAAATAGTTCAGTAGTTTTGAACCTATTTAATGCAAACAAACACTCAAATCTTTCTTTATATAGTGTAGATAGCAAAAAATTTATACGTGCAAACGTGTATATCCTAAGGCTACGTGTTTCAAATATGTAGCTTCAAATCCGATTTCGCGTTTAATTTCCAAGAAAAACTTGCGATAAGTTCTCCAAGATATATCCTTCGTCGAAGTCACAATTCCTCTCAGCTTGTAATCTCTCGCACGTGATCAGCTTGTGTCAAGTAGACTCCTGTGTATGAACATTATTTCCGTGCTTTTATATTGTTCTACTTTAAAAATCCTTCGAAGTTATAAGCAATAACGTACTTGAAAGTTTTTAAACAACAATATCATAATATATATAATATTATCCTAATATTTACGTCCAATTGTCCGAAGTTGTCTTCGTTTTCCGGCAAAACAATGGATACAATATGATAAATAAACAAAACAAAAAGTTGTCTATTTACCAAAGTTATAGCTTTATAGCTGTGTGCTTATTTATGTTCTTTTGTTAAATTAACATAAGAACATTAATATGACTTATAATTAGTGATTAAAGTATTGTGCAGTGTACGAGCTAAGGCTGTACATTTTGCTGATTAAGGTACTTTTGGTTTTATATGCGTGGCGATTGTCTAAATTGTTGAAATTAGGTTCCCGAGAGTAAAGCTAGACCCAGGCACTCTCTTCAGCATTGTACTACGACCAATCAATATGTGTATTAACACTCGCTGCAGACACGCGCAAAACATCTAACAAAAAGTCGACAACGGCGGTGGTGGTGTCAGACTGATCACCTGTTGCCTATTAAGAAACAAATTACATACTTGTTTTACACATAATTATTGTCCGCTGATTCAATAGTTACTCTCCATATTCGTTAATTATTTCTCGATACTTTCGCGTTCATGCAATGCTTAATGTATGTGTGGGTTAACGTGTAATAACGAATCGCTTAAATTAATTACCAACATTGCTCTCGCGTTAATACGGTGCGAATATTCAAGTGGGATTAAGATATAGTTCATTTGCATATTAAATTGTTTGCGTTTCGCTCTTCATTACTATTTATTTGAGCTAGTGCTGCGCGGCCGCCGCGCCCGCTGTTGTATAATATTCAGTCAAGTCTTAGTGCATGAGAATAACGTCGAATAGGAATGTATAATGCAATTTATTTGGACATTTTAGGGTATTTAGTATGTTACAGAAATACTAAGAAGAATCGGCTGGGAGCGCGGGGCGGGTAGCGTGATCGATGCGGCCATTACTCAGCGGATAAGATCGCGCTTCGCGGATAAAGTGCTGCTGCATAATCTTACTAATGTCAGTGTTTCACAGCCTTATTTGCTGCAACGCTTACCGCTAAAACGATGCAATTATTTCTAGTTCAGGCAAGATGTTACAAGCGTACGTGATATAATACACGGAGTACACAATTTTTTATTATTTAAACCTAAGCACCACGTTTCACACCGAGGAGGTACTAGATTATGTTTAGAGACGCTTCAAACAGGACAGTGAGGTTTAAGCGATGAGACACATGCTCGCATATTCATTGCGCATAATCGCGACCAGAGCTTCACACCCCAGCCACCGGACACGGGGTGTCTTATAAATACTGATACCAATGATGTAATAATCGTGGTGTAATTCAAAAGTTACATGCTGGCTTTAGAGCGTGAACTCAGGGAAAACATAGACAGATTGATTGAGAACGAAACTCCAATTATTGTACAGTTTTTATTATAACTTACGACAGTTTAACAATATAATAATAATACATAGTTGTTTTAAGTTTTGATTATTTAGATAATTTGGGCACTTGGATTTTATTACTTATACCATATACCGCTATAAGATTATCCAAAAACTAAAATCATTGTTGTGTGGGTCAAGCCTTATAATCGTTTACGGCATAATATATTTTTATGAGGACCTTAACGTTCTCCAAATGTTTATATCACACCGATGTGATTTGAGATTTGTGCTTTTATTTGACGAGGGTGTCTTTTGTGGTACAATTTGTGACGCGACAATCTGTTACCTGGCTACTTTATTATTTTTTTCTTTATTGGACTCAAGCTAATTAAACGGTTCAGCCAGAATATAATTTAGTTGCGTTAATTTGATTTATCCATAAACCTAAAACTCATAAACTACTCATAAATTTTGACGTATTCTTTTATAGTAAAATAATTATAACAGTATGTAAATGTGACATAGGACATCTAAAATGTTCCGTATTTTTTTAACAAATATAGATGTGTGAACTAAAATTTTATTGAATCATAAATTGCACGTTTGTTATATTACTGAAGTATCTAAGTTAAATATAGATAAATAGTAACGGTATTAAGCACCTTTGCATTTATGAGGCTAAATTACATTGTTTAATATAAGCCAAATTTAATAAAATGAAATAATAAAATATTAGGGTCTTATGAGCGAAATAATTATTCAAATATCAAATTATTAAGGCGGTCGAGTGGTGCAGGCACACACGAATGTAACTAGTGACTGTACAATCATAGATAATTGTCACTGAGCTCTTTAAATAACGTCAATGTATTATTTACAAGGCAGTGAAATGTTATTCATCTTATTCTTCTATTGTATGTATAACATATGTCTATTATATCAAGCAAGTGAATAGAAATAATAAAAAAATGCTAGGAACGGGTACATTTATTATTTATTCAAGTCTAGATGCAATCACTAGAAGATACTTTTTTGATGTCGAATAAAAAACAAATCATCGCCACTACAATGATTTTTAAAGACATTGGGCGCGTAATCTAAATTGCTTATTAAAAAAAAAATTGAACATTCCCGCGCTTTGGGTTGTATGTCAAGTGTCAGTGATGACTTATTGTATCTGCACCATAGACAGATTCATTACATTTACATATCTGTTTTAAATGTAAAAAATGTGAGTGTAATATGAGTAAATAAATAATTACACTGACTGACTGGAATACAAATATGTGTGTTTTATTACATCGGTATCAATATAATAGAAAATTCAAATGGAACAAGTAATGTAATTTCATGTACCCGTGCTGATTTTCGTCTCGATAAGTGTAATTCATTGTCTCCCATCAAACAATCTACATCTATTGCTCTAGACGCTAAATCATATAGAGTTATTTTTCGTATGAGCATTTTTCTTGTAATTCAGCGTCATTTTTGGTGCAATTCAATCTTAGATCAAATATGAGACGTTCGGCCCTCTTCCAATATCCTTTATTGGCTTCTACAAACTAATAAGTAATATTGTATTGTTAAAGTTTGCATCAAAACCGCATCAAGTTTCTTAAATTATATGTAAGTTATTTATAATGTAACAAGTACCCACTAAGTCTTCCGTCTTTTGTTTACAATTCTAAATTAAATAAAAATATTTTCTAAAATATAATAAATAATATATTTTAACAACTTTTGTAGATTGTAACATAATATTTTTCGTTTATATACAACTATTAGGCACATGCACAAAGTAATCTTGTCATTGCATTTTACGTAATCTCTTAAAAGTATTTATAAAAGGTTTTTTAAATATAGAAGTATTATTATTATTAGTCGTATCTACCATGGTACACTCCAGAAAACATTTTCATAAGCATAAACTCGTCTTATTTTGTGGGAAACCAGTACAAACTTTGACGCAAAGAAATGAAGAAAGCCTAGTTTGTGAAGTGCGGCTACGGCAAGTTAGACAAGTTTCCCTTTGCGCCGTCGCCAAACTTATCCACAAACAATATGTCAGTGACGTCAAAAGACTTTCCCAAATTATAAAGCTCCAAATAATTGTGAATATTTCCGACCGCAGCTTTGTAGTGAATACACATAGCGAAGCGTCCTTTACCTCCAAAGCAAAAACGGTTTCGGTTTCGGTCTACTACTTATGAAATGTGTCTGTAAGTACTGTAAGGTGTCTAATAAAGCTTGGAACAAGCTAGTAAGAATAAGGAACAATCGAGGAGTGACTCCAGATTCTTACTAACCAAGCCCCAAAGGATTATCACGTCTTACGATATGACTTACCTGAACTTACCTTGTCTCAACGAGTGCTAATAAAAATTATTATTCTCATTTTAACAACGTGTTTGAAAGCATTATTTTTATACATTTCCTAATACGATATTGGAATTACATACAATTCCTAGGATTTGTGCACATTTCCTAGGACATTTATGTATTAAATAGTTTTCGAAACAATATTTTGTACATTTCCTAAATAGCTTCGGAATTATATAAATTTCCTAGGATTTGTATCCAATTCCTAGATTTCATACATTTCCGGTAACATATATAGATAGACCTTAGTCGAACAAGTTATATGACAAGTTAACATATGGTAGTACTGAAACTGAATCAGACACTTTACGATAAATAGTGCATTAAATATTATAATTGAGTAGGCGCGGGCGGGTAATGATATGCATTCATTTGTCGCGTTTCCCCTCCTCCGCAGCCCTTCCGCGGCTGTTCTGCCGATAACAACGCACAATAAATTATTATTTGTCCGATTCCATTTTACTCGCGTATTTATGACGAATGATAATACCTACGAAATATATTGTGTTTTATTTGCTTCAAATTATTATGAATGCTTTGTCACATTCCATTCTACACTGCTCTGTGATGTCGCGAATTATTTACCTTTGATACTCTGTGGAATATCATGGTGTCGATATCAAATTTTTTTCGTACTAATTTTTTCTTATGATGAAGATGACGAATAGCACCGATGGTGTTTTTTAAAAGCTATTTTGGGGTTTAGTATCGTCTAAAAGCACCCTCATTCTAAATATAATCACAGCAATTTTAGAATAAAACCGCGAATTTAAACTAGGTGCCTTAAATTTACAAATTAAAGATGGATTAAAATTAAAACTGTTTAATTTATGCGATACGTACTAATGTATATTAACTATTATTACTTATTTTATTAGAAGATACTGTTCATATTTTGATACATTTGTAAATTATATTATATTAAAACTACAGATTGTATTTATTTCGTATCGTTAAATAGTTTCAGAAAGTTTCAGCGTGCGAGAAACAATACTAAGGGTGCAACTACGATAAGCTTTTTTATGAAAATGTTAGCGCTGGCAAGTATTGGAGGTATGTGTACTGGTGCCTGGTAAGACTAAATTTTTAGAGAAGCGACCATTTTTATTATAGACATTTACTGACGGGTCCTTTTTTTACTAGCCATATATTCTCCTTTAAAATATGATCTACTTATATTGTTTATGTTAATGATTGACAGCGTCCCATCTTTGTAATTATAAATAACACCCTTAGCCGATTTTAACCATGAAACCTTAATATTTATTTATATATCTATTCCAGATTGTAAGATGATTGACCGCCGCCATGTTTTCGCTCCGACTTAAGACCTGGAATAATATGAAGAAATTATAATTAGACATTGCCATGTCAATGCGATCCATTGAATCAAACAGGCTGACGTGTTAGAAGCTTTTTGCAGTTTCAAAGAGTATTAGATACGTACGAGTATGTATCAAAACTATTGTCTAAAAATTATCTTGCCATATCTGTTTCGCTTTATGAAGGTTTTATTTGTTTATTAAATTATATTTAAAACTATAATTGGTGACTTAGTAGGACTGGATAGAATTAAACAAAGTTATATATATTATCATTTATCACATACTTAGTATACGGAAAAGCATAGCACGCGTGAGTTTTAAAATAAAAAAGATTTTAGCATAAAGCTTTATAAATTTTCTTTTCTTTGGGGTTTCTTTTCGATTGTGCCCTCAGCCCTAGTCCACGTGACATGATACGACATGATGCTATGTCCAATAATAAACAATAGAACGTTTCGTATAGGGTTTATCCTCACCATTAAAAACCTCGTACTTCTTGGCAATGGGTCTGGTATTGATAACCATGTTTTTTCTTCTTTCGGCTTATGTGTTTGGACTGCTAGGAGCGGGTGGATTTGGTTCATACAGGGCCTTAAGAGCAGCATGCAGGCGGTTCAGGTCGACCTGCTGTGCCTGCACTTCCCGTTGCACTTCCTCTAGAGACAGCTTAACACACAACCATTCCGACTTGTGTTCTAACGCCTGCTAATTGCCGACTAACTGCTAAATCACTGGATTTTCAAATTTTAGGTAAGAGTTTTGTGTTATTTGCTTTTTTTTAAAACGTCATGCGTTAAAGAGATATATTGAATTTTTTGCAAAATTCGGGACCTCCTAAGAACATCATCACGGTGCGATTAATTTGTACATTAAAAAGTTAATCATAATTAAAGTGTTATAAAATATTAGATTGTCTGTGCTCCCTGGCGTTAAAGTAGGTAATGTAAATAAAAATGAAGGATTTGTGTTCTATTCTGAGGAAAATTCTTGCAATAAGTCAAGTGTCAAGCGTAAACAGTGCAAAAGGCGCCTAATATATTCGCATATTGACTTGTATCATGAGGACATTTTTTTATTTGGAATAAAACTGATATTGAACTAAGTTATCTAAAATTTGATCACCTTAGCCTCCTTGATTGCTGCTTGGCGGTTTACTTCGAATATTACTATCATCGAACCAATGAAGAATATCACAATTTCACCTAAAACAAGCCAAAAGCGGTTATGAAGTAGACAGTGTCGAGTCGCTGTGTACAACAAGGCATACCGATAAGATCTCCTCCGAGCTCGAGGGCTTGTCGGCGTGGCATTGGCGGGGCACGCGAAGCCACCAATGCGGGTGATGCGGTTCCTGCAAGACGCAAAGCTGTGATGCGCGCGCGCCACTCTGCTTCATGATATATTATCGCAACTCGTTCACATACGGCGATGCTGAAGCGGGGATGTGACTTCGCATAAACCTTAATTCGACTGGCCACTGGTGAACTAAGCTGGCGTGCTATCTGCGTCGCCAACTTAAACAAGGGAAAATGCTCGGCGGCCATTATTCTGTCTGCTCGTCACCCTTTTTTCGTGACTCCCGCGCGACCAATTTGCACATCGGACCAGACATTGTAATAATCATAATAGGTAAATTTCTAAAAATAAATTTATTTGCGTTATAGTTATTTTGACATTTTATAAAAAATAGACATTAAACATTATCGTTGTCAGGATCGCACGTTACCATAGACCGTTAATATTGTACATTAGATAAAGACCAAATTTCAACAATATTACAATAGGTATGCTCAGACGTATATGCGCATGAATATGTGATATTATTACATACTTGTAAATAGCGAAACAAAATTAATTTTATTTACGCAGTTAATATTGCGATGTTTCTGGCTAAACATTTTCGTAAAAATATTGAAAATATATATTTGACATTTTATGAAAATGATATTATTGTTATTTGCATGTCATATTGGCGCGAGTTTTCTAAGATATGAAATGAAATCAGTAAATGTTAATATTAGGATTGTTTTATGATATTATTATAAATATCGTTTGTCGGAGTAATTGGTTAATCTATAGTTGTAAAAATATAAACTTTTTAGTTGCTTTGTAGAAATAAAGAATCATGGAGATTACGTTTAGTTATACAAAGAAGAGATGCGAATTCGGGCGACAGCCTCTATTTTGCGAGCAGGGCCCGGAACTATGTGACTCGGTGCCGCCTAACCCCGCCGAGCATAAGCATTATATTCTACGCAACCCGGTGCACCAGCCTACCCAGAATACTCCTTGCTTCTCCGAGCACTACATCAACACAATAAGGTAATTGTAATTTCTGTCTAAATCTACATTCAATATTGCGGTTTGCGTATATAATATAATAATTAATAGAAAAGTATTAAATGTACCTTTCGTTTATCGAATTTGGATAATATTTCGTATCGCGCCACTAGCGCCACAGCTGATTATTTTTAATGACTTCGTCATGAGCTCTCAGCACCATAACTCGTGTTGTTATGATGGCGCATGACCTTTTTTGCCACAAAAAAAATGTACATCAAAAAGTAACCAAAACCGAATTAGAGCACCCCTCTATCCACGTGTGTATAAAAAATCGGAGGCGCGGAGGAAGAGCAGCCCCCCCCTTCAGTAACAGTAACAAAGCACAGGCTTTATGCAAGCCGCAGCGGCTAGGGCTGGTCGCTGGACCAAAAAGCCGAAGCTGCGGAGGTTTGAATAAAATCCCTGTGCTTTGGTACGCAAGGGTGGACTGGCTGCATTTCCCGCAGCGCCGGAGCTGTCCAAAAAACAGTTTTTTTTTGTAGTATATGACTCTATGATGCTTTGTTTCTGTTTGGTTTTGTTGTCAACAAGTATAGGTGGCCACAACACTTATGCTTGTGTGAATACAGGAGAATCAATGCCAAATACTTTGAAAGTTTGATATTTTTTTAAGCCAAAAAGAGTCATGCGCAATCATAACAATACTAGTTATGATGTTTACAGATCATAACGCGACTGTAAAAAAAAATCAGCCTCAAAATCACTGGTGGCGCGATACGGAATATTTACCACGAATTTCAATACAATAGGGGAGACCGGGTACAAAAGTAACACTTTGTACTTCACACTTGATTTGTGGCCAGGTTTTAATATTGTCATTAAATTAATATAACCATATATAAATTCAGTTTATGTTCTTTACACTAGCAGCTCGATTTTTTTACTATGGTGTGTTTTATATGAATAACAGAGAGTTAAAAAAAAATCATCAGTTGTTACTTTCGACCACGTAGGCAGGTCGAAAGTAACAAGACGAAGAGGTTGGTAATTAATACAATATTATATGTTTAATCAACAATTATTTATTTAAAAAGTAAAAGTTCTGCATTCTGCATCCATCCACTAGCATTGCCAGCTCCGGCACAACCAACAGGACCCTCAAGAATCATGTGGTCTTGGAATTGTTTAAATGGGAATACGAAAAAGGAGGTATGTGTCCTCCTTGAGCATTAATGGCAACAGCAACAGTTCCTAATCTTCCACGTTCTGAGGTTACTGCACCTACTTGTTTAGTTCCTTTTTGAGCAACAATCTTGCTAGGTTTGTTTGTTACTTGTGCTATGTTACTTTTGTACCCTTCCTCATTTATGTTGAAACATGAAATATAACTTAAAAACGGAACGTGCTAAACAAAAACAAATTTAAACAATGTACAATCAATCTAATCAAAAATAGATATGCAAACATTCAGATTACTACCATCCTTTTACGACTATGTAAACATTAAATAACAAAATATCGAAAAACTTAGTTTTGGTTTGTAAAAACACGTAGTATCCTCTCACACAACCTAACAGTGCGTGGAGTACGCGGCGACTAACTACAAGTGAGGGGGGCAGTCTCAGCTATCGCCTGACGGCGGCGAAGCTGTTTTCGCCCATTGGATGAATCTAGAGAGCATTTGTTACTTTCGACCCGCCGTTACTTTTGTACCCGGTCTCCCCTACACAAAATTATATTTAATTTATAGACGCAATTCCGGTAGTCAAAATTACTTGGAGGGGGCTCCGATCAAGGTCCCCCGAAACACCTACATAATCAGTATCATCAAATTCAGGCGACGTATTTCTAAATCCAACCCGATAATCCCGCTCCTTCTCCACCATGTGTAAGATAGTACCTATGTCGTTATAGAGCGGAGTACACAACTACTGGAGCCAATCATGCTGAAGGTGGGTGGCCAAAAGACGTGAATGTGGTCGACCCCGAAGCAACACAGCGATATCGAAGAAAAATTGAGAAAGATGACAATTACATCCATTGTGTTATGTCTCTAGCACCAGTACGTATGATTGTATCCATATAGATATATTATATGTATCTTTATCTATGCAATATATGTTTTCAGGGTATGGATCACTACGTGTTGCAAAACAATGCGATCGATATGTACCGCACATATTACGCTGAAATGGCGACACTGCCGCAAGTAGAGCGTAACAGTTGCCGTACTGTCAACGTGTACCGCGACCCCATGGGCCCGCGCCCCATCGCCGCCATCAGCTGGCAGCCTGATGGTGGACAACGATTTGCCGTCGCCTACTTAGATGTGGACTTCAATCGCATCTCACGAGCCTCCTTACTTTCTTACATCTGGGATGTGGAAAACGCCAATGATCCTGAAGTAGCGTTAGTGCCACCCGTACCACTGCTTGACCTGCAGTTCAATCCACGGGAACGAAATACTCTGGCAGGTGGACTTCTCAACGGGCAGGTAGGCGTATGGGACCGGCGGCGCGGTGGTGTCCCGGTCATGCTTTGCGCGCCGCACGTAGCACACCGAGATCTTGTGCGTAACGTGATCTTTATCAACTCAAAGTCAGGGCAGGAGTTCTTTTCGGGAGGGCCAGATGGTGCCTGCAAGTGGTGGGACATGCGCAATATGGATGAACCCACTGATGAGATGATTATCGATGTAGTGAAGTCGTCGTTTGACGTGCAAACAATGGCTAATGCGAACGGCATTACTGTGATGGAGTACGAACCCACGATTCCGACGCGATTTATGGTCGGTACTGAAAACGGACTGGTAGTCGGTGGCAACCGCAAGGGCAAAACTCCTATGGAAAAGCTACCGGCGAAGGTGAGCACATGGCAATATGGCACAGGTACCTAAGTGTATGCAGTAGTATCCTATGAATCCTTTTTGTCGGTAGTTTGAGGCGCACCTGGGCCCAGTATGGTCGCTGGAACGAAACCCTGGATTTCTTAAAAACTTCCTCACAGTAGGAGACTGGACTATGCGTGTTTGGAGTGAGGATTGTCGTGAGTCTGCTGTTCTTTGGTCGCCACCGAATCGGCAGAAAATAACCGCCGCAACTTGGAGCCCCACTAGGTTCAATTTTTTTCTTAATTAAGTATTAACTTCAATCAGGGGGTGCAGTACATCTATCACTATACACATACGGATGTGGTAATATCTCGTTTCCATAACCTATTTATAGAACGTCGAAATCGCAAAATTACACCAGAAATAAGATTAGAAACAAGTATAGTGGAATGCAAAACAACGATTTGTATACGTAAATTCAATGTTAAATTATATATATTATTCTTTTTAAATGATTCAGGCTGATATAGGCGAGATACATAAAGTATGTGAAAACAATCAACCGAACCAACATTACTGTTTGCGCTAAATCGGTGTCAGTCAATGAAGGTTGACAATTGTCGATTTTGACTTTGACACGCGGACCGGAAATAGTAGGGGGGTTCCGGCGTAATGGCGCAAGGATCATGAGTTAAATTTTAAACGCTGTCGCGTGCGCACTGAGTATAGACCATACCGTACCGCATTTACTTTTATTCATTATAAATAATAGGATACTGGATCCTATTATTTAATGAATGCTTGGAGTGGGACACACCACCGTTGATGGTAAGTGCTACTCTTAGTCTGATCGATTAGCGACAGCCGAACAAGCGCATAGTATTGTACCGAGGAAGCATCCTGGTTATACCTTCCGGATACCCAGGCCCACACAATTACAATACATATTTTACGTAAAATAATCATGAATTTGTGTTCGTCAGGCTGTCGCTGCTTGCAGCGGTGCAGTGGGATGGTTTGTTGGCCACGTGGGATCTATTACGGCGTCAACATGAGCCTACTCTTACAATGCACGTGTGTGACGAGCCACTTCTGCGCTTGCGCATGCATGAGGGGGTGACTAAATGTTTTTAAAATCATTTAAAGTAACTATTTTAAGGAAGTGGAACTTTATTTTGAAGCAATGTAAAATTAATATTATTATTTTTACTAGTTTCAAAATAAATTGATAAATACTAACAATAATCTTTGATGTTCAATTACTCGTATCTTGAACCATTGTGTCGACTTTAAAATTTGTGTGTTGCAGGGTGCGTTTGTGGCCTGCGGCAGCCGTAAAGGCAACGTCTACATGGTAGAGTACTCACAAAACATGACACAGTCTGATAAGAACGACAAAATACTTCTGACTGCGGTAAGTACGTAGAATGCCTATTAGCCTATTTACTTAGCGCGCGAATCATTTCAGAATTTGCGGTCGTATTACATTGTTACTTTTCTTACAGATGTTAGAGCGGGAGAGTAAACGAGAGCGTATTCTCGAAGCGCGTATGCGTGAGATTCGTCTTAAGTTACGACAGGCGGAGGAAGGCAGTCCAGCCGCCTCTGTCACTGAGTTTGACCCAAGTGTTGGAGATCGCGATCTGGCCGAGGCCACAGCGGAATACATGCAGGGCGTGAAGAAGGAGCTCGCTGCCATGTAGCCGCTGCGATTATATTATTATTTGAACATGTTACGTTTATTTTCGCAATTAAATGAATTGAAAACATTTTTCTTGTCTTATTATCGGTAACTTTTTAAATATTTAATCAATTATATTGCAAATTTAAACAAAAATGTGTTAATCACACTCTTACTTGTACCATTTACAGGTACATCCTTGAAAACCATGTAACTCAATAAGTGTATTTTTTATACAATAATAATATTATATTATTTTACAATATTTTAACGAAAGAGTTATTTATCGCATGGTGCGCCGCTCGTTGCTCGCCGCAGGATAGAAATAGATTTGGAATTCGGAACAAATCACAACGAGCTTCAGACACGAGGTAAAGACTGTTGTGATAATATAAAACGAAAACGTTTCTCTTTAACCACTTTACTATCTAACAGGAGTATATATAGTCATAGGAGAGGAACACTGAGACTTTTCTGAAGATTATCGGAATCGGAAAATTAGCATGGAAGAGGTCCAAAATAAGTGGTGGAACAACGATGGTTCAACAGTAGCTGTCTTGCAAGCTGTGTTTTGGTATATGTCACCATCAGATCTGAGCCGAGCCGCCGCCGTTTGTCAGATGTGGCGCCGCGTTGCCTCTGCCGATTTCCTATGGCGTCATTCTTTGATGCCACACATCTCACCGGACGCTCTGCGCACACTACGAAACACATCGGCGAATAACCAACACATAGGTAAACAAATAATCCCAAGTCAAATAAGTCGTGCCTTCTGCGCCTGACACACGTCTAAATTTGGTTCTAACAAATACCGGTCTCCAATCGTGTGTTAATTGCCCATATAAAATATTGGCGCGTTGCCGGAGTTTACACGCACTAATTTGAGTTGACATTCCTCACCAATACTAATTAAGCATAGGTATTATCGCATAGAAAATTAAACTGTATAACCAAGCTTTGTGTTATACACAGCATCATGGCAGGCGTGGAGCTGGCGACGCGAGGGAGCACTGGCGACAGCGCAATGGACACGGCGTGCGAAGTTGCAACCCACGGCCGGCGCACCTCTCTTGCACGTTGCTATAGACAAGACTGGCACTCATCTCGCACTGCTCGCTGAACAAGCTCAGCTTTCTGTAATACTGACTGCTTAAATTTCATTAGTAGAGAACTTTTTGATATAATTTTAAACATTTATTAGAGAAGAGAATAATAAGAGAATTAAAGTTATTTTCAGATATGGGAGCGAGATGACAGCCACGACGTCGCCGGCTGGCATGAGGTGTTGAGCAAACGCGTTAGCGACGAATGGGGAGTCAAAGGGGCCGCCGAGTGGGCACCAAACCGTCGGCGCCTGCTTATCGGTGGCCCACTCATACTGGCTGACCGTTGGGAATTCCTTGTGCTTGATTTTACAGGTACGATATCTGAAAACTGAGATTTAAAACTATCTACCACCTATGTCAATTCTCTTGTGCAGCGGACTGGCACTGTTCAGTGGTCTGTCGCGCGTCGAGTTCACCTGGCACGTGGCCAAACTGGTTAGACGACGCTCACTTCATCACATTGCACGCGCGTCTTGCTGCCCCTCATTGCGCAACGACCACTGTCTGTATCAATGCAACTACACAGGTACAGCCTTCACCTTCTAGTAGTGTTTGTCGCTTCCTAGTTTGATCAACTTTTGTCTTGCCATAGGGAACCCATTCGGAGTACGTTGGCGTAGTAGCGCCATTACTTCGCATCTACAACGAGGCCGGTGCCAACATCACGTGAGCATAGAACGCAGGCTTTTACATGCCAACATATAACAGGACAGTTTTACTTACCTTAATTTACTTTGTAAAGACACACTCTTGTTGTAGATTTGCCTGAGTCTACCCCTGAGGATGGTCAGCATGATGAATCTCCCATACAATGTAGAGAGCCTCACGCATTTTATTATCGCTGCTTACGAGAGGTATCACCATATAAACAAATAACTAATTTTTTTTTATGTAGCACCAAAACCGAGAACTGCATAAAATTCAAAATTAAAAGTGTCCAAAACAGTTACCATCTTAAATTGTTTAACCCTAACTTCTACTAAGAAAATGTAATAAAAAAGATTGGTTCATAAAACATACCTAATCGTCGTTTTACAATTAATTTTCTACAGAAAAGCGGTTCGGGGCAGCGCTACCTCATAGTGAGTGGAGGGTTACGTGGAGGAATACGTGGCGCAGCGCGCGCATTACTCGGCTGGCACTTACCAGCCTCGTTTGACATGCCACCCGTATTTCTTCGGGAGGGGATTGCCGAGCGACTTCTCGCGCGCCGACAGCGCGAAGCGGAGCCCCCAGAAGAGCCCCCTGGGGAGGAGGCCCTGCGAGCGTTGTGCTCACTCCCTGATGCCAGCTGTCCGCTCCCCGCCACTGTGATTGGCCTGGTTTTGCACCCGTCGTATGTATACTTTTGTATAGACAATATATTTGAGTTTGACGAACTACTACTTCTTCCATTTATGAGTTATAAAGTTTTTACTAACACACATTAAAGTGATTATACTCTTGAAGCCTTTTCTCTCTTTTCTTATCTTTTAAAAAATACACGTTGAATTGATAATCACTTCACATTAGGTGAGCCTTCTGACCGTTTGCCTTCTGTTCTATAAAAAACCTCCTTCTCAGTTTATTTGTATTCGGATGTAAATACAGTTAACGTGATTATTCATTTACAGTAAGTTCATTAAATTTAGGTAACTAAAATTGCTGTTATAGGGGCAGAAGCGTTTGGGTGACAACCACAGAAGGCATAGCTTGCGTATCACTGCCCGCGTTGCAGCCTGCATTGTGGCTGCCATTAGGTCCTAAAGGTGCTTCGTTATACAGAGTGCAGCCACACGCCGATCATGACTATGTGGTTAGTCCGCTGGGTGGAGGTTCAGGTGCTGTACAAGTGTGGTCAGTGAGAAGTGGGGTCTACAACGCCTCGCTTACCCATGAAACTCCGGCTCTAGCTGCACTGCTGCCTCCGTCGCCACCCTCGGCTCACGCCCTACTCGTCCTTACCACGGAGGCGTTACATGTTTGTAAAATCTGAATATATTTACATCACAATACTAAGAATAGTTTGACCAGACTTCTTCTCTCATTGCAGAAAGGCAATTCTATTGAGTTCATTTGCAAGCTTACTTTACCCAGTTGTGCGATTGGCCAGAGACAGTAATGCGACCAATCACTGTGTTGGATGAAGTAAGATCGCAAATGAAGTCAATCATTGACTTTTACAGAGTTAGATGAAAGTCGTATAAACTTAATATATATAAATTACGTGTCACGTTGTTTGTCCGCTATGGACTCCTAAACTACTTAACCGATTTCAATCAAATTAGCATACCGTGTGCAGTTTGAACTAACTTAAAAGATAGGATAGCTTACATCTTCATTTATACCCGTAATATAATTTTATTGCAAATTATTTGTTTATTATTTGACAGTCACAATTCTAAAATGCTGTTGATAGTACCAAATTTCACATAAGCTAAATTTAATGGCATAACCACCAAAAAAGCATGGTCCCAATGGGTCCCCATGACTGGTGTTCTCCTACGTTTCCCTTGAATAGTTTACTACTATGTAATATAACAAAATTTTAGCCAAAGCAAAGCTTGGCCGAGTCTGCTAGTTGTAATATAAATTATAATTATGGTAAATAAAAACTATGCTTTGAAGGTTTTATACATATCAATTATTCGTAATCAATTCTGGGTCTAATTGTATTGTGTTTGTATTACAGATTTGGCAAAGCTGCGTACCCATTTATACCCATGTGGCGTGAAAAAAGTATTTTTGAGCATTGTTTGAATTGTTAAAATTTAATCTAAATATGTCAAATATAATTTTAGAATAAAAAGTTTTATTTTTCAATTGTCTTTGAGGTTCTATCAGTATAAATAAGCCAACTAGATAATATTTTTTTTATCCACGACCACCTAGTATTTGAGTCCTTACTATAGTTTAACTGTCTACCTACGTGTTGCACACGGTTATTCACTCACCCAACAAGCCGGATATCCTAAAGAGACATGGTGTCGGCCGTCACTAGCCGCGGACTTGCTCGATTCACAGCCATTGTCACTTCGGCGCGTCACGCGGGTCATCAGCGCTCTTGTCACGGCATACGAGAATCGTGCACGCCTAAAGAGCGACCACCGTGCCCACCATGTGAATCACCACCGCCACCAGCCTGCCGCGAGGCCACCCAAGACTCCCAGTGTGCTGTCCGCAAAGTGTGCTGCGCGCCGCCTTCCGGACTCCGCCCACCGTGCCCACCACCAGAGCCCCCATGCGCTCTTACATGCGAGAATACATCGAAGGTACATATTTGTTGAATCGAATCATGCTTAAAGCCTAAGTTTTGTATAAAGATAAATATATTTTATAAAGAAGCCGCATTATTTTGTTTTTATTTAACACTGCTATGCAACAACAGGCTAGTTAATGTCAAGCGTTGTATGTATTACATAATTATTTGAAATAAATAAAATTTATACTTGCAGGTTGTGAACGTGACTATGGAAGCACGCCAAGTGGCGGGATGTGGCGTTCAGCTCGACCGTGTGGCGCAAAGACATGCCGCCGCCAAACACCGACGGCGTGAGCAGTACGAGGACGAGGCGAGGCAGTTATCACAGTCGAACCTGTCACCCACACCTGCCGAACCTTACAACCTCAGGGGCGTGCAACATTGCGCACGGGCCACTGACGGCCATGACTACATCTGCGCCCAAACACCAACTCCCACGCGCACCTGTGTTAACGGCGTTCCACCGCCACCGACGCCGGTGCCACTCAAGTCCTCTAAAGGCTGCGAAATTCAAAGAAATCACCACCTCGACCCCTGCTCTCATAAACCACGAGTCTTTGTAGAAATAGATCGAAGTGAAAACATTAAAGCTACTGAGAAAACTAGTACCGAGAAAACCGCTACCAAGTCGACTTGTGCACGTAAACAGTGCGGGGAAAATAAAAAAGAGTGGTGCAAATCACCGCCTCAGTTGGCTAATGTTCCGCCACCCTGCCGAGAGCCTAGTTTAGTTGAACGACTTCGCCGTGGTATCGGGGGCACCGACGGTAAGCCCTCGCACCGTGCCTTGCACACTCGCCCCGACACAGGGTTCTCGCTGGCTGCTCTCGTCGTCTCCCGTTCTGAGAACACACCTCAGTCCGATAAGCTCTCGGCTATTTTGAAAGATACAGAAAAATATGAAGAAACCGGACGAGGGCGCACAATAGGTTTGATTAACAATAACGTAAAAGCAACGAAGTCGAACTTTGGGTCTCTTGAGTTACAGATTCCATCAGATGCTGATTCTGTGAGGGTCAGTGTGACACTAGATGTCGCACAAACCGCTGGAAATGCAACGGCCCGGCAGGCGACAACGAAATGCGCGCGCCGCGGGTCTTCGGACACGTGGCTTTCTATAAAAAACATACAGAAAAAACTTTCAAGCAGTAAAAAGAGAGATCCGAAACCATCTGAAAAAGAAACTAGCTGCCCCGTGCCACCGCGGGTCATTCCTGCAAATCCTTGCGCCCCTTCCCGTTCGCAGCCTCCTAATCCACCCTGTCCTCCCTCCAAGGCCGACCCCTGCGCTCCAAAGGATAACCGCACACGTTCCGTTTGTGCCTTTTACCCACTTCATCTTTTATCGTGATATAGAAAATAAATAACAAAAATTATTATAAAAATGTATACTTCGGAGTGTTGATATAAACATCAAAATTCTTGTAGATGTTTAAATAATATATTATGCAGTGATATCTCGTCTTTTAGTAACATTAGTACACCATAAAATTTCATCGATTTTTTTAGTGTTCTCATGGAGGCCTTGGATTCAACATAGACCAGGCCCTCTATAACGTTTGCCCCTTATAACATTGGTGAATTATGTTAAGTCAAGAATACTAATAATAATTATATGCCCATGTCACATTATGTTATCAGAGGCATCTGTGCAATTTTGTCGCAACTACTATCTAAGCTGAACTGGGGTGTTCATTCGATTTATTAAACTTACGTGGGTTACACTAAAAGCTGCTTAAGTAACCTAAAGAATAAATCTTATTAATAACCATTTAAAATAAAGCCTCCAAAAATATTTGTATAATTTGTAATTAGTAACAGTAAATATTTTACATAATGAAGTGTGTTTAAATTATACTCGTATATAATTCGAGTAACAACGCCATCTTCTGGATATTTCGGGATCTTGCTTATCAACATAAAGTCATAAAAACTCTATTTTTTATCTTTAAGCTAATACTATTAAGTTTACCTCAATAGTAGGTACAAATATTAATATTAATAAAACATACTCATTTTACTTTTATCAATTTATAAGATTAATCATGTGGAAAAGAAAGCTCAAGGTCGATGGGCAGTATTAGGAATAAAAATTCCTTTTAAAAGATTTGACAGACTATAACAGTGAAATTCACACGAATTTTTAGGTTTTGAATAATAAAACTATTACGTCTTAGTTGAAAGTCGATATTTTTATGAAACCTAAAAATTTAAATGCATTTTATTGGTATATCAGACATCTTCTACATTGCATAGTAGTACGTATATAACAATTTAAACAAAACACTTCTCTTCAATGTAAAGCTCATTTGGCTTCCATTCATAAGACATGTTACAATCATACAAATAACATCACACTGATAACATTAATAAAACGACACATAAAATGAATTACATATTTATTTTCTCACAAATCACTCCACTAATCTAAACCATTACTCTCGCAGTAACAATCACATGTGAACCAACCAGAACCAGTGGAACTACACCGATCTGGCCCTCGTGCTTCCGCTTCGCAGGCTTGCTGACAGCTTACTCCGAAGCCACTGCGGGCAGTGGTATAATAATTAGCAGAGACGCTCATTGTAAGAATTAATATTATGAGGTAAAACAATGTGACCTTCATGGCTGAGTCTGACTGCGTAGTGCTCGCCGTAGCTGCGTGGGATGTATATATAAACGATGTATTAAGTATGTTGTTTTGTCTAAGAGCTTGTTTAGGAATAAACCCCTACATAAGATCTTTCATTTTGATATGAATATTAAATAACATAGGTGATTTTTATTGCAATCCTACTAATACTACTGCTACCCGCTTCTTTTCAATATTATATCACGTTTATCACACGGCTCAGTACATTTTTCTATCTAAACATATTCATATCGGTTAGATTTAAAGTTAAATTGTGGTGATTTATCAGCTGTTATTTGTCTTGTGTGTATATTAGTTAAAACATTTATGTGATAACCTCGTATAGATAATTTATATTTATAGATGTCATTGGATCTTATACTATGTGGGAACCAGTTTCATCCCACGTCATGTCAATATGGTAAAGGTTTCCTTATATTTTGCAAGAAGGAATTTTTGTTTTTAAAACATGTTTATAACTTTTATGCATAATGTGTTTTTAATGTTTCTGCTCACATTATTCGTTTTTTATATAGATTTAAATGGATATGAGCTGTTTTAACAGACAGAACTATGTAAAGCCTGAAGAGTTTCGAGTTAAGAGCTAGGAAACTCGAAAACGTAGGTGTAATAAAACAAACTAGATTTTAATTACAACATCAGCACTCTTCGATAACTTATGGTTCAATTTTCAATAACTACCACAATAATATTAAATTAAAATAAACACGTCTTTTCTCTTCACTTCATTTATTGCAACTCTAAGACTATAGAAGCACTAAATAAATCAATTAAACATTGTTTAAATTCTTCCAATTTGATCGAATAAATGACTCTTACATTTGCGTCATCCTTCTCAACAAATGTATTTGTATTCCGGCCCCTTTTATCACCTGAAAAAAAAATATAAACAAATATATAAAACTAATATAATGCAAACTAAATAAGTCTTAATAGGTGTACTTAATTTTATGTTTAGTTTATTACGGTAGTTGTAACTAATATAATTTTACTAAAGACAGTTTTAGAGCCTTTTAGTCTTTATCAAGAATATTACATTTTGCTGTGAATGCTGCTCTGTACGCAAATATTGGACCTTCATACTTTCATATTCGTGTTAATTATAATAAGTTTATTTATTTATTTTTCATATAACGCAATATGTAATAAGAAAAAGCAATTTTTGATTTTTAAAAACAAATAATTATTCAAAGTATGTATATTTTGACATTTCATTTCTACATAGAACAACTTTTGACGTAATATATCAGTCGATGGTCATAAATAAAACCTGTAACCTTCACATGGGTTTTTCCTTCTCCAATCCAATCGGGTACCTACAGACGACCATGTTTTTAATGAACATGATCAAAGATAAGTGAGATCTAAGGCCAAGGCGCATAAGATAGTTCCTACTGTATTTATTCGACATTTACATACCACACAGAAGAATATCATTTTTGGCGTATTTATACTCTTCAACTAATTCTGGTCGAAGAACAATGGCTACTACAGCAGGATCAAGAGCGTGCCATCTATCGCTTTTAGGAAGAGATATTCTTTCATATAAATTCAGAGTCCTGACTAAGACCGAGTCTATTGCACCAAATACCTCTTCTCTCCATTGCTGTAAGTATAAACCTAGGTGAGACCTTATCAAGAATAAGCAAAGATTAATTAACCCCTATACAAATTTTTGTATGGAACACTTTAGAATAGCTCCGTAGACATCAGTTAATTAGGAATAAGAATAACATGATTCAAATAAAACTATATCCTTAATAAGCTGAATCTTGTCAAGTTATATTAAAACTTTAAATATTAAGTTGAGGAATAGGCTGCCTGAATCCATAAGATTGGCATTTGGCTCCCTCTCTATCATCTTTTAAAACTCTACTGTATACACATTTCTTAACCTTATCTTATCCTGATCAATCGTGACTTGTGTAATTCTTGTATTTCTTTTTCTTTTGTATTGCATCACTATTCGCTGTTCATGAATCTGTAAGATTAGCTTTTAAGTTTTTAGTTTGTTATTAACATTTTTTTTGTATTACTAAGGTTCTATATTTTTTTATATAACATTTGGTTCTGCACTTCTTGCAGTCATCATGTTCCTTTTGTTAGTTTTTCTCTTACTAAGGTTGCCTGGAAGAGATCGCTTATTAGCGACAAGGCCGCCCGTTGCATCCCTTATAATTTGTATGTATTGTGTTATTTGTGTTTCTTTTATTTTTTTGCAACGAAGTGTGAATAAATAAATAAAATAAATAACAGTGTTAGAATGTAAGTCTTACTTAATATTATATCTAAGACTCGAAACTCGTCGAGGCACATAAGACTAATCAGGTACTATGGAGAAATCTGAAGGATACAATATGCATGTGGCGCCGATCCAGCCTTTTGGTTGGAAGAAGCGCACAACATCCTTTCTCCACTAAGTCATGGCCCACTCATTGTATAAACTTACCCGTGAGATATTTAAATGCGCCATAACTTGTGAAAAGGGCAGAATCGTGACTTTTTCTGGAGTCGCGTGTTTAGCTATTATGTGGTAGGCTTCCACATCCATGTGAGCATTGAATTCTGCATCGGAAACTTCGTCATCTAATAAAGGATATAATTAAATAATATAAAAAAATCTCTAATTTATAAAAAAAAAAAAATTCTTTATCGAGATATATTCGCAACACTTTTAAATGTTTTATATTATGTGTTTTGTGTATATTATGTTATTTAAATAATTGTGGAATTGTCAAGACTAAATGTTTAATGCTTATTGCTTGCACCAAAACTAAATCTATTTCATTTCATTTCACTATTTCAAACTATTTCATTTCATTTCATTTCACTAAATGATAGTGATGCTGTTGGATGTTTTTTACTTCTAATAAGTTATCTTTTTTTAGCTCATGTATAAAAAATATGTCTCCATAAGATAAGAAATTTGTTTATTGAATATGTTTGGAAATATCATATAAAATTTTATATTTTGACCCTACAATAAATTCACCCCAGCAAGAACACCAACGATTCTTTACATATTATACAAACAAGTTTAATTGATAAACAACACTAACTATGCCTCACTAACACTAAATGCGTGGAGCTTATGATCAGAATTTTATTTTATATATAGAATAGGTGACATAAGAACTTACTATGTATATGTCCAGCACCAACATACAAATGTTTTATCCGTCCTAAGAAATTAGGATCCAAGGTAATTGCTAAAGCAATATTTGTCAATGCTCCCAATGTTATCACTGTGAGGTTTTCTATAATTTCAATCCAAAGTATTTAATATAAATTAGTTATAATATATCTAGTATTATAATTTTTAATTAATGCATTCAACACATTTGTATTGTGTCATAAAAATTTCATTGAAAACAATATAGCACAAGACTTGAACTTATATTTCTGTGTATAACTTAGCACCTTTGTGAGTTTTCGAAAGTTCTATTAAAGCTGAAACAGCATCTTGTTTTGCAGCTGGAACTAAATCTGTATGGACCTCGTCTATGTCTCCCAGGCCATCAAGTCCAAAATAGTCTCCAGCATATGGTGTGGTGACTAGTGAGGCTTTGGATCCTCTATATATAGGCACCTGAAAATATGAAATTTTTAAGAATTAATTATTTAACACTTTATTTCATTGAAAATATAACATTGGATTGTGATGTATTATAATTTTGTATTATCTGTAGATAAAATGTATGTGTTTAATACTTACATCTTGTCGCTTTGCAACTTTCAAAATCCTCTGATTGTTGACATAGACATTGTTTTCATTTGTATTTCCATTCCCAGTTGTTAATCCTACCAATTTAGGCCTGTAATATAAAAACAATTATATTGTGATTTAATATTTTGTTTTTTCATTGGGAATAAATACCATGTCAACACACTGTATTATCAACTAAGCCACGGATGTGTTTGATAATAGTATAATATTATTTTTTAAATCTATAAGTAGCAAAAGAGGATTTACCCATCATAGTACTTCTCATATAATAAGGCTAAAAAAATAGCCATCGCATCATCTGCTCCGGCATCATTGTCGATCAATATTTTAGACTCACACCTGAAATAAAAGGGGTAAGATTAAAATACACCGTTTTTTTACAACAAGGTACAATAATAAATACTCACAATCATCATCTTAAAATAAATAAAATAATAATGGGTAAATCATTAAAGTTTTTTTTTTAAATTAAGTATTTATCTCCAACTCATTGTGGTTTAACCCATGAGATAATTGTTTGAATGTTGATTTAATATCATTCGAGTAGTGTACTAGTAAGTTACTAATTAATGAAAACTAAATCAATAAAAGTATAATTAAATATAATTATGGTACTTACTTCACACAGTATGTCACTGAATTTAAAATCAAAGCCAAACCAATAACAAGCATCATTTTTTTATCGCGTTATCAAATGCACGACATATTTCTCGAACAGACAACTGATAAATACTACATTTTGTTATTACTATAATTACTGATTACTTAATGTAATCATTACATTAAGATTTAAGATGATTACAAACATAACAACAAAAATCTTAAATTTCAAAGTAGGGATTTTAGATTTTAGTCCTCACTATATATTATATGAACTTTGTTAGTATTATTTCATATATATTATATTAAATACATGTTAATGTATTTCAATGTCCTTTTTTCAGGAAAAATAATATATTTACTTACTGTTAATAAATAGCCGCGACATAGGTTTGAGATATTATTTAACAAAGTTAATATAATATATAGTGAAAATGTTATAACATATCTCTATCACGTTTAAATTTATGTAATCACACTGATTTGTGTAAACAAAAACAAAACTCACATGTTATGTTATAAATTTTATACACTTGTTCTTTTATTCTAAATTAATAAAAAAAACGTCGACGTGTATAGATATTACATAATATATTTTTGTAGACTTTTTTGTGTTCTGAATACTTCTAAATTCTAATAGTTGGCAAATGTTTTCAAATATTATCATTGATAATAATATAATATAATTATTTTCGCCCAAAGGGCAGGCTAAAGTCTTTCGCCCATAATATGTCACCGCCTTAAACATGTTCTTTTCCAAGTTTTTTTGTACCATTTTTTCTTACCACAGACTACAAGACTGGGGTACTGGGGTTTGAGACTCAGTTTGCGACAGACGTGACTAACGGCAAACGAAATTGTATGGGAGGCAGGAGCTCACGTTGTTTCACAGGACCATTGCCAAGCGTGGGTCACGCCTGTTGTTTGTATGTACTATTAAATACAAAAGTATACTTTGATATTTCAATAAAAAAATATATTTTAAAGTAAAACTTCTTTATGCGCGACTAGGAGGTAACTGGACGACAATGCAACGGAAGTCCATTACGGCGATATGGTGTCACGTTTCTGTACCATCCGGTTTTCGGTTTTTTTTTCTGACGGAAGTAACGTATACTATAGTCTGTGTAGTTTCCGCTATTTAAAAATAACAACGATAGTGCGTTCTATAAGTCCGTCATCGCCATCTAGTGGTGCATTATTTGAACTTATTTAAGTCAGTTTCTTGGTAGTGTTTATTTAGGATAGCATTCACTCGTTTTATTTGATACGGATTCTTGTAATTATGTTATTATTAGTATATTTATATTTAAAATGAAAATCCATACTAGTAACATGTGACCGAATTAAAATTCCACTAAAGTGGGAAGGTTCTCATCCTAGCTTGCTTTTCTTTTGTTATACATATTATAACATACGGCCAGTTTTTGAAGTGAAACTTCTTTATCGGCGTTGGAAAAAAATTTAGTGTAACATTTTTGCGTTACGCGTCACAGTTTTCCGTTACGCGCCATGTTGCTTTTTGAAGTCAAACTTCTTTATCGGCGTTAAAATATGACATATAGTATGTTTTTGACTTTGAAGTTTGACAACGGATTACATTTTCGAGTTGAAATTTGCTAATCGCAATTTGCAGCAATTAATTTGTAAATTGTATGCTAGGCAGTGTACCAAAATTTACTGTATTTAAAGAAATAGTTTCTAATAAGGTCATAAAGAAGTTTCACTTCTTACGTGTGTACACCTAGTACACGCACACCTTTTTTTTTCGCTTAATTTCGTATTTTACCATTTTGGAAGAAGTAAATTAATACCAAATTAATTATCCTAAAACTCTGGTCTATTTTGTATAAAAATAATAAAGTTGTATAAGAGAATAGCAAAGTAAATAAAATAAAACTTAAGAGGTGTCAAGGGACACCCGGATGGAACGAAATTCCTTTCGATTAATTTATATGTTAATTGGTATCATAACAGTATGATAGATTTTCTCGACACCAATCTTACGACGAAAAAAAAGCCAACATCACGAGGTGTTCCCAGGCGGTCACCCATCCTCGCCTCGCCCGCGTTGTTCGGTGATCGGACGAGAACCGGTGTATTACAATAGCAAATAGCAAAAAAGTGTCGTGAAAACTTTTCGTAAGAATTTTTTCCGTCTAGCCCCCTTTCGCAACGCGCGATAAGGAACCTCGTTCCAAAAAAATTTAAGTTTAAAAAAAATATTTTAAATTGCAAAGTTTTTTGAAAATCTCTAAATATACTTATTGATTTATTACTTTTAAAATAAGTAAATTAATAATAAATTTTCTGACGATTGCGACATTCTATAATATTCAATAACAGGGTTATATTGACATGTGCTGATCTAACCTTCGTATTTGAATAATCTTTGTAAATCACATGAATAAAAAATTTAATTAAATTATTATATGATATTTATTATTTAAGTTAATATTTAATCATTTCAGTGATATAATATGCCGTCAACGCCAAAGAAGTTTTACTTCAATCGCACGTAAAGGTTACACGCACACACTTTTTTTTTTTAATTTAAGACAACATTACTTTTTAAATCTAGGGCGGAAGGAAAAAACGGAGCGGATAAAGGAGCCTTCTTCACCTCGATGTGTTTGTTTATTTAAAAGAAAGTTTTTTAAAGCTGTATAGTATGCAACATAATAAAAATAAAACTTGTATATAATAATTTTCCTTGGAATAGTCAGACATTGTGTAGTCGTGGAATATGCTTAGGTATACCGTATATAGAATCTCTTTTTATTTCCCAACTAAAAGCAATATAGATGTAAACTAAACTAGCCGAATATTATATTATTTTCCTATTTTTATGGCATTTTACGATCGGAATTAACGGGTAAAATGTTATTATTTATATATTATTAGAATTATCTATAGTGTCGTTATTGTCTTCATTATCGTTATCGTCACTTTCATTACTATTGCTAGTATCATTAGTATTTGTATTGTCCTTATCATTATTTTGATCGTTTATATTAGCGGAGAAAATTTTTATTAGGAAATTTTGATAAACATTCTTGTCAGCTGATTTTATAACTCTTGCGTTTGGATATTTTGATTTAAAATTATAAGTTGTCCTGCCACGTAATTTACCTGAAAAAAAAGGACATTGAAATACATTAACATGTATTTAATATAATATATATGAAATAATTATTATTATACTAGATTAATTAAATTGAATAGGTAGGTATGTAATTTTTATTATCACAATAATTTTAGAATGTGGTTAAAAGATACTATCTTCAATATAATATGAAAATAGTCGCCAACGGTTGTTTTGGATTTCTCTACACAACTTAATGCTCCACAGATAAGCGCTATTACCCAAATAATGAAATAATCTTTTCAGCTCTATAATATTATTAATACTTTTTGTATTAAAACTACTCACCACACAAGAAAATAGATGTATTTGTTAATTTCTTTTCTAGAACCACTGACGGTTCTAGTACTATAGCCATTGCAGAAGGATCTAATGGCTTCCAGTCCTTCGTTAAAGTCATTGATTTTCGCTCAAACGCATTTAATGAACGTACTATATCTGTGTTTATTGCTCCAAAAACATCCCGACGCCATGCCTAATTTTAAACTTCTTTTATTATCTCAAATTAAGAGTATGAAATGATGCAGGCACTAGACACGAACTATGTTCTAATAAAAAAATCAAGTCAAGGTTAGTTTACTCCCGTTGGTGTGTCAAAATCCGGTACGTATTTGACCTATGGGAGTCATACTTAGCGTTATGTCTAGTCTCTGAATTTGTGGGTTAATGTAATTTAAGTTAAAAGTATATTTTTTTTAGTGCAGTAATATAATACCTTTCCCAAGTTTAAATATTGTTTGACCTGCGTCGAAGGAATAATAGTAACTTTATCAGCTGAACCATTTTCAATCATGATATAGTATGCTTCTACGTCCATTTTTATGTTAAACTCAATTTTATTTAGTCCTTGACCTGAAAAATATAATATTACTAAATTTGAATGCGGCATTTTTTTTGAGTATTTTTTAATAAATCGGTTCGAATGAGTGAATACTGAATGGAAAGATTTCTACACACAGATAATATACACTTTATTAAAAAATTATTTAAAACATATTATTTTAAATAACGTTACTTCCTTTAGAGATTAATATAATCATCCTTGTAGTTTCTAGAGCTAATAATGATATTTTAATTTAAAAAAAAATATTTTTTTGAATTATTACTTCACTTTAAATATACCATTTACAATTACCGGGTTTGAGTAGGTACAGCAAGTCGAAGCGCAAAATATTTTGTTAATTTAAAAAATCCTTCATTTGATGAAATGTTCTGTCTAGAAACTACCCCCTTTTTTTATAAAAAGTAAATAGGTACGTTTTATTGCACTCTTTTAAGTAAAGTATTATTTCGTCTCTTTCTGTCAAATACTATAATTAATATGAAAAATAATATATTTACTTACTATTAATATAACTAGCCGCGACATAGGTTTGAGAAATTCGGGATATAATTTCTGGATCCAATTTCATCGCGAGAGCTAAATTCGTTAAGGGACCTAGAGTAACTATTGTTAGTGCGTCTGAAAATACGAAAAAGATTAGTAAACATAATACAAAAATGTGTTATATTTACTTCTAGCCTACGGTACAACAATACTATTTGGCTAATCGTCGGTCGATATATTTTGTTGCGCCTACTCAAATTACTGAGTGGTAAGAAAGATACCATTGTGGAATCTTTCTATCTCAAAGGGGTTTAGCCGAGAAAATGGTTCCCCTGAAACAAATATAACGTCTTGATAAATAGTAAGGTATACATGATTTCTATACCTTGGTATTTCTGGGATAGATTAATTAATGCAATTGCAGCAACATCAGTTTGGGCTTCAATAGGTTTAAAAAGCGTTGTTTCGTTGTCTCCTAGTCCATCACGTCCAAAATAGTAGTCAGACGGAGCATTCTTTATAATAGCTGTTTTAGATCCACGATATATTGGTATCTTAAAAACACATAAAAGTAATTTACAAGGAGATTTTATCGACATAATATCGTTAATATTTAACATCACATTGTAGTAATTTCAATAATGAATAATCCCATCCTCAAGGCAAAAACTTTCCGTGCGATGATATCATTATCTCCAACATTATCTTAAACATCTCAGTTAAAAAGATACTTTAACATTACAATTTAGAAGTCTACTTACGTCTCGCCTGTTAGCAATACTCAAAATTCTTTGTGTATTATTAAATACTTGTGGTTCATCGACATTACCATGAACAGTTGTTATTGCAACTACATTTGGCCTAAAATAATAATAATTTTGAATTATACCAGGGATTAAGAATTTACAAGGACAGATAAAGCGTGTTCGGGACAAACGGAATGCCAATACGTGTTTTAATAATGCATTAAATATAATAATAATCCTGTGGCGCTACAACCATATATGACTCTTGACCCCCGATTGCATCCCTTTGATCGACAGATTAGCCTTTTGTGTCCAATATATTTGAGTGATATTTTTAAATTAATTTCTTAGAGAGTTTTTCCGAATATTTCATACTTACCCATTAAAATATTTTTCATTTAATAATGCCATGAAAATTGCCATAGCATCGTCAGCGCCACCGTCGTGATCTATCACTAATTTTGGTCCAAATCCACTTGCTACACTAGAAATAATAAACGGACTTACTAACCTTTATACTTAAATTTTTCAAAGTTCATGCATATTGATTGATAGATAATATGCAGTTAGATTAGAGGGAAAAGATATATATATATATATTTAATAAAGTAAACTACTATAATTACCTATAAAAGCCAGACATACTATATAGATATAAGACAGATATAATTATCTTCATGCTCGTAGCGTTTTCTTTCACTCACCACGGGTATAAGAGTAACTGGTAGATATTTATTAAGCATCTTTCGAATTTTACATTTTGTTAACTCATATGCAACAAAATTACATTTTTATGTGAAACAATTAAAGATAAAATTTAAATGTGATTTTAATGACATAGCAATTAAGATATACCTATAATTAATTAAATTGTCATGTCTGTTTTATATTTTTCTTTTAATTCATTCATTTTAATAATAATCTTAATAATATTCTATAAGTAAACATTCTCTACGTGTATTTAATTAAAATCGTCAAGGCAGTGATTAAAAAACACTAGATTATTATAAAATAGATTATTGATGACAGTGAGCGGTGTTCATCTACGCCCGAACCCAATAACATAACCTCAATCCATAATCGACCATCTGAGATAGTAATCTTAATCTTAATTGTAAATCTTAATTGTATCAAGTGTGCCAATAACCAATCGACGGATTTTAATAGCCATCTGTCGATACAAGCTATCCGTGGGAGGTCGTATCGGTGACTGTGGATAGACCTTTGTATGAAAATGACAGTTGACGAAAGCTCGATTTCAACAGTCAATGTTTTTAACAGATTTTAACTTACACCAGTTTTTTAAATAATTTAAAAGACTGTTTGTTATGTTTTAAACATACACATGTATATTTTAATGTTATTTGTACGGTTTTATTTACTTTATTTGGTTTACATTCATTATCATATCAGAAATATGAGTGAAAACTCGCTAAAATAGAACGTCAAAGAGCATTTTATCAGTTGCCAAAAATGGATTGTCTTCTTAGGGTTTGGTTATTGGGATGCAGCTAGGAGATCGATCGACTGTCACGGTCTGATCTCAGATTGTTTTCAATCTGAGATTGTGGATTGATTATTGGGTTCAGGCGCTAGTGGATTCAGCATGCGTCTTAGATCCCTGGCTTTGCACCAATGACTTTCTATCTATGTGCGGCGTACTTGCCACTCGCTCGTACGACGTACAGTGAAGTAAAACATCGTGAGGCATGCCTTAACGCAAAAAGCTGATGGCGTGTGTCAAGCCCAGAAGGCTGATCACCTATTTGCCTTTTAGCAAAAAACAGACAGAACTCTGAGACCCAGACCTTAATAGATTGTAGCGCCAGTTTTTTTAATGACAAACGTAGCTTTGAAATAAAACAATCGTATCGTTTCAATGTTGTAGTTTATTTTTCGGAATTTCATGTATTATTAAAATATCAGTTCTTAAGATGTACTTATAATGTTAAATAAAATATGTGAGGTTATATTATGAGTAAGGTCCATTTGAATGTCCTGAAGCTTCCAATGGAGCGGAGAAAACTGTATATAAAAATATCATATATTTTACTTTGTTGATTCGCACAGCTACTCTTGTGTTTGGGTTTTCCGAAAGAAAATCATGAGGAGTAACGCCTCTGTCTGTACCTGGAACAGATATCAAAAAAAGATTAAGCAATGGGTATTTAAAATAGGTTATATTTTGCGTGGTGGGGTAAAATTCACGTACGTGCTACTATGTAAGTGATAAACATTTAACTGATAAAGTTTTGTTGCCTGGATAAAATGTTGGAAATTATAACATTATACAAAATTAAAGTTAACAAATAGGTTTAATTTAAAATTAATTTGATAACATCTTGTAAAAATGTGAAATAGATAACGTTTCATAATCGTTTTAATTATCCTTGAATAACATTAAATCTTGTACAATTTCAATGCGAATTTATTACATAATAGTAAATATTAAAAAACACATTAGATATAGAGGGTCTTATTCAGGGTGATAAGAGTCCACGCGTCCCGCTAAGTGTAACTCTTGTATGTCTAGACTGTATTTAATTTGATTTACCGAAGTTATTATTAGTGGCAAGGGTAAGAATAAGAAATGAGCGAGCCAGATCTATGATTCATAACGTTTTGTTATTACCTAATTCGTCACGGGTCAGTTTACAAATATACACAATTCTTTTTGAAGCGAAAATCGTTACCTTAAAACACGTTAGGATATTCACATTCCGAAGTATTATTAAATTTAAAATAATATTACTAATATTCATCTACTCTTACTCTTTCGTTCAGAGGAGTTGTTCGGATTACCTGAGTTTCATCATCGGACGTCGAGGCAGAATACGAAATTCCACCCGTATCACCTCGACGTCCGTCGTTCCACAACTGAGCGTTTTTTAAGGCAGGTTGTGCCGCGCACCGCCACTTTGTGGAACCAGCGGCCCACTGAAGTATTTCCTAACCAATTCAACTTAGGATCCTTCAAGAAAAGTGCGAACCAATTCTTAAAAGGCTGGCAACGCACTCGAGAGCCCTCTGGCATGGTGTGTCCATGGGCGGCAGTATCACTTAACGACAGATGAACCTCCTACCCGTTTGCCCCCTGTTCTATTTAAAAAATAATAGAAATAACTATCAATATTTACCACATAAAATAACACTGTTTAAAGAAAATTTAAACTCATCCACCAAGCTCTCACGAAGCACTACCGCCATCACAGCCGGGTCTAAATTAGCCCAATAATCAACAGCGGCGATAGATTTTCGTTCGAATTTCATCATATAACTTGAAATAACTGTTGGTATCTTCCCAAGAACATTGATACGCCAATTCTGAAATAATAATAATGATTTAATGACTTTTTTTTTTTTCATACAACAAGCGCGCCATTTTTAAAACCCTAAATAATAATCATTAAACCTTGTAATTAAAAGAATGTTCTTATAGACCACAAGCCCATGAATAAAAAATACCTTGAAATGACCACTGAATTACCTTAGAAGGCTTTACTATATCTGAAAATACTCTGAGCACTATCCGTATTTCTGAGCGGTAATTGATACGTGAGGGAATGGACTTTCTCAGGTACAATTGGGGAATTTCGACTAATTATTAATGTACGGCTTTGTTATAAGTGTATAGATATTAAAAATAAATGTCGAAATCTTAGTGCCGTACTAAAGTGATGGTACCGGAAGTCTGTGCAAATTTTTAATTGACGATAGTTGCAGGAGCAATATAGGTCATTTATTACTTACGATTTGGTAATTCCTTTTGGATACATATACAGATACTTTACCTAAACCCTACTTATTTCAGGGGAGCGGTCGAAAGCCAAGGGTCCAACATATCTCTGATTAATATATGATATATATAGAACAAATAAAATTAAATGATTTGAGATTCTTCACAAATAGGTAAATTTTCCAATGGTACATTTTTGTGGAACACATAGGTTATGGGGTAAATTACTTCCCTCGAAAAAGAGTCATTTTCCGGTGACTTTTATTGTAGGCAATAAAATTGTTAATATTTAGACAATCTTCAATAAAAGATAAATCGTACACTTTCGATAGTCCGCTATCTGTAAATGGCAGATTATACCACCGCCTACCAATACAGGGCGTCCCAAAGTTATGGGATATGAAGGGAAGTACCTTAAATATCTAATAGGGTATTTTACTAAAGAAGACTTTGTTTATTTTTAAAATTATAATACTGCATTCAAAGATTTTTAAAAATTACTTGCTCGTGGGGAATCGAACCGACTTTGATTAAAAAAACCCTACTTTTATGATGCCAATCGAAAGAATGGCCTAAAACTAATAACTCTTCTTAAGTAACATAGTATTTTAAAAGAAAGGAACTGGTGAATATATCTTTTTATCAAATAAAAAACATTATCTATCGTATTCGGCCTAAAAAAATCCCTACTAGTCTGTTACTTTAGAAAAGTTATTAGGTTTTGGCCATTCTTTCATTGGTATCATAAAATAGGATGTTTTATTTACATTTAAGCCGGTTCGATTTCCAGACGAGGCTATAATTTTTTCAAAATCTTTTAATGCAGAATTACTAACTTTTAAAAAAAAACGTTAATCTTCTTTAGTAAAATACCCTATCTACGATATTAAAGGTACTTTCCTTCATGTCCATAACTTTGGATTATTATATTTTATTTTTTAAAAATACTTTTCCTTTACCTCTCTTCTCGTAGATAAGGCTGTAAATATACTTTACAGCCTTATGGTAGTATACTCAGATACGTACATTATTAATGACCTTAAGAGACACCTCAAACTCGTCGAAGTTTTTATCAGCTGTAAAGAATAATGTGGAGCAAAATGTAGGATTGTTTTTTTTTTTATTTATATTTTTACATATAAAATAACAATAATCTTTGAAAATATTACTCCTCATATTACTTTAGAATATTTGAAAACACATCTAAATTTCGAAATTTCATATATTTTTTATATAATATTTTTATTTTTACCATTTATAATGAACGGCTATAAGGTACAACTAAATTTAGTAACATTATGTAAAAAAACAAGTTGCGTAATTACTCTCTGATCTTAAATAATAACTCGTAAATCCTGAAATTTCATAAATATTTATTTAAAAATATTAACTATAATTTTTGACATAATTATAAAACATTATTTCCTTTAAATAATATTTTGAAATTTCTAATTTAATACTTAGGGTATATGTTAGTAGTTACTTTGGCTTTGACCCTCCTAAATAAGTACGCGTTTAGGGTAAAGTATTTAATTATCTAAAAGGAATTAGAAATCGTACAGTAATAAATACCTATATTGCTCCTGAACTATTAATTAAAAATTTACCGACTTCGGTACCATCACTTTAGTACGGCACTAAGTTTTTGACATTTATTTTTAATCATCTATAACTTATAACAAACCTACATTAATATTAGTGAAATTCCCCAATTTACTGAAAATCATTCACTAGTACTAATTACGTCAAAATAATAGTCTCAGATATTTTAATATATAAACCTTCTAGTAATTATTTATTTATATTATAGATAACCGAACGCCTAATCATTATTAACTTTAACTTATTAAACTATGAAAACTTTTAAATTATGAAAGAAAACATCCACGAAATTCATTAGGCTTATTAAAATCCAATATTTTGGATGACGCAAAAACTACAAAAATAACGCGCGCAACGCACTACAACAGATAATACAAAATCTGAAGTTATAATAGACCATAGAGATGCTTCTCGCTCGTAAACAATAAATAGTACAAAGCCGTTTTAGCTCTTAATAGAGTCTGGTATATGATCAATCTCGTTGATGAACATATTAGGTGACATATTATGACCAATCAGATGCTTTGGTCAAGACCGCTTTTAGCGCTACTGGTAAATTTTTCTACAAAACAACAATAGAAGTCATTATTATTTAATTGAAAAATATTGCTTTAATAATTACCTTTTCAATTTTAACATAGGTTAATATAGGTGAAAAGGGCACCACTGTGACTTGGCTGGGATAACTGTGGTTGGCTACGATGTGGTATGCTTCAGGATCCATAGCCGCGTTAAACTCAGCTTCTTTGTGTTCCGCATCTGGTACAAAAAAATATTATTAATTATTTCTCGGCATTGTTTACCGCGTTCCTGCCATTGTCAATGTCATTTTTGAAACATAGGGATGATGGCAAGTGACTGGAAGGCCTTAGAAGATGTGACGTCTTGCATACGGTCTCTAAGTTAATTTGAAAGTTAGTGCTAGCAAACAGGAAATAACTGGCTTAAATATAAGTCGTATCTAACTATGGCTAACTCTTGGGCCTAAGAATACATAAATCCACATGATTCATTTTTGATAGTTGTGTTTAATATCTTAGGTTTAATCAGTTATTTATAAATATATAAACAAATAATACAATATTATTATTTTATTTAATAGTATTTAAAACACGTTAGTCCCAACATGAGGACATTCATTTGCTGTGGGTTACCAGTCTCCTCTTAGGTTCAGAATAGAAAAAAAAATTATTAAAAAAAACCATAAAATAAGTGAGAAGACGAAAATCAAATCAAATGAAAATTTATTAATTCATATTGCTAACTATGGACACAAAAGGTGAATTTATGAACGAAAAAGTTGGAAAATTTGAATTTACATGTAGGTACTACCAGTTCGAAAATCGACTGCACAGAACGGGCGAAAACTGGCAATTGCACCATTGACACCGTACTTATCATCTATATACCGTACTTATATATTATATATATGAATACTAGATGCCATAATAATAATATAACAAAAGCAGCAGTCGAAATAGTAGTTCGCCAAAGTGACTGGTTAAAATTATTTAAATTAGATTTCTGTCTTATCCTATCAAAAACTAATAACCCGAGTAGTAGCTGTAGGAGCTCCGAACGCACGTGAACGTCATTTATCTATATAACACGTTATATAAATCAGTACACGTCATAATAATTAAAGAATATATCGGCATCGGCAACTGGCTCTCGACGCTACCAGAATCGTTAGATTTAATCTTTTGATTTTACTTACTATGAATATGTCCCGCACCGACATACAACTGTCCTATTCTTGAAACAAACCCTGGATCCAGTTTGATTGCCAGTCCAATATTGGTTAATGATCCGATGGCTACTACTATGAGTTTGTCTAGAAATAAAAATAATTTTGATAATTATTAAGGAGTAACTTTTATGTCTAATCTAAAGTTTGATATAAACAATATGATTTCGATCATCAAACAGTGATGAAATAGAAATCGTAAGTCCACTATTACGTCATTTCAATTTGTTTTTTTGTAATACTATGAGTAGAACAATGTTAATTTTTTATCAAATTACAAAATATCGGAGATGTTATCTATTATCCACATAGAAAAATGAAAGTATAAATTGTTACTTCAATATGTTTTTTCGAAATCTATCTCTTAAAAATACCTATATGAATAAGTCAAATAAAAGTTACATGAGGTATTTTGTCTCCAATAAAATAATATTTTTTGTGTACTAAAATGAATCGACATTGAACTGGTAGGTAATATTTGAATAAATAATAATTAAAACAAAAAAAACTTTAAGCGATATCTTACCACCATATAAGTGCGATAAATGGATAAGAGCCAACGCTGCGTGAATCGGTTTTGCAGGAAGTTTATCGTAATCCTCTACTTTATTGTCACCAAGACCGTCTTCTCCAAAAAATGAGTCTGATGGGATGCCATGGATGAATGGCGATGCGGCTCCGCGGTAGATAGGAACCTGAAACACAAGACGTTTTTATGTCTATTCAGAAATGAAATTCGGTTTTTTAAAGAATATTAAAATTTCGAAACATTCTTAAAATGTGAATGATTCTCACTAACACGAACCGACTTTCTGATAAAGATTACACTTTAAAAAATACTAAAAAAGATTTATAGAAAAAGGATTTTGTTTTAAGTCTAGAAATTTTGAAAAATCCAAGCATTTTTTAAAGATATGGAAATGTCAGCAAAACTATACTTACATCTTTTCTCTCAGCTATGTTTAAGATTCTTTGAGTATTAATGTAGGCTTGGCTTTCATTGACATTCCCATGGACCGTGGTTAAGCCTACCACTTGCGGTCTGAAACATTAATTTATTTTAATACGAATAATATTTTTTCATAATTTTAGAAGCAAGTAGGTTATCTGCTACACATCATTGATTTTAGGGTCTAAGTCATGCTGGGTTTCTAAGCATCCGTACCTTCACTTCATGGTGTACCATTACTCCAGAACTGGTTTGAATAGACGACCAGAGGGTGGCGACACGTCTAATCTTCACTGCTATAATATAAGCTGTATAAAAATACGCACCCGTTCAAATATTTCTCGCAAATGAGAGCCATAAAAATGGCCATTGCGTCATCGGCTCCTCCATCTTCGTCTATAACTAGTTTGGGTTGCACATGTGACGCTCCACTAGAAATAATAAATTCTTTCAAAATCACCCATTGTATGAGAACATTACATAAAGGGAATATTATTATGCATCATTCTACTAATTACTATTATATACAGCTAGCACGTACCACTGAAAAGCAACCAATAAAGCACACAACAATTTAAAATAATCGATCGTCATTTCTTCGCACTGGTAAATGTGAATGGGTAACGTTCTAATGTTAGAATAATTACTAAACAGCTGTAGACGAATTAATAACAAATACGGGTAATAATTTCTCCAACGAAAGTCACGGAAATAATGGCACCAATTAAATTAATTAATTAATATGTTTTGCTTAAAGAGTTAATCGCTTTTACAACTACAAATACACTGATTTTCTAATTATTTGGTAGATCAACACGAGTTAAAACTGACCTATGCCTTATAAAGTATGGTTCTGTACTCACTAGGAACGAGTTTTTTCTTATATTACTTTTTCAAGTGATAATATTTTTATCCGATTGCAATCATTGAGATAAATCAAAAATGGATTATTAATATTAATATATCGATGTTATAGGAGTATAACATTATTTTATATCTAAAAGTGAATTATATCAATAAATCAAAAATGAAAATGGCAATTATCTTAATTAGGTATAAGACCGATTAATTTTATTTCCTTTTGAAATACATATGGAGTCACTTGTGGTACACAACTGTGGTATTGTTAGTATTTAACTCGTACTACCCACAAAAATAATATACAAACGCGGTAACACATAATTGCGGGTAATTACAAATTAATCTTGGTGACTTTGACACAATGTGACATCGAATGTTAATCTGAATTCATTATACTCAAAAAGTGTCGTGGTAACAAGATAAGACTACTTACTATAGTTTAGATAGACTATTTTTATAGAGATATGATATCTGGAATCGACAAAGATTCTAAGCTAATCATCCGATTGGAATATTTCTGTATACATGAGTATTCACTATAACATGTGATAGCCTAATATTAAGTGGAATATATAGAAACAACAAGAATAAAGCAGAAGAAGAATCAATAAACAGATAATTGAAATAAGTACTGATCACTAATTATAATTATATGCGGGACGAAACGCAATAATTACAGGATTTCGTTTCGCACGCAGCACGAATGGATGTTTCAGTTATAATGTTAAAATCATTGGTTAAAGATATTTTACACGGGTACGTTTCGAAATACTCATGTGTTATCTTAATATATATAAATTACGCGTCACTTTCTTTGTCCGCTTAGGACTCCTAAACTACTTAACCGATTTATATTAAATTTGCACACCGTGTGCAGTTTGATCTAACTTAAAATATAGGATAGCCTACATAATTATATATATATATAATTCTACTGTACGTATGTACCTATGTCAATGTACTCCTCTTAAACAGCTGGACCGATTTGGATGATTTTTTTGTATGCGTTTAGTTTCACAAATCAGCCCGGCAGATGGCGCTGCAGTCGATATTTTTTTTAATTTTTTATTGATAAAAAGCTTGCTAACGCAACTTTATACTTTGTTTAATATCCTAATCGCTTGATATATCATGCAGGACAACGTCTGTGGAGTCCGCTAGTTAAATATATATTCATATTGTACTATTGATAATAACATGATCATTATTATCATATAATTATATCTTTCATACATATATATGAAAGTTGGTGGGGACCGTAACGAGATTATACTATTTCCTGGAAAATAATTTAGTCTTTTACTTCTAGTAGGAAGTAGAACGTTGACTGTTTCTTCTAATTATGAATGGAATATTATGAAATATAATTACAATGACGCGATATTTTGACTATATTTACATGTATAATATTAAAAAAAAGTGCGTGCGTACAAAGTACCTACACATGTCAGAATTGAAACATCTTTGGCAAACTAGATTTTAACTCTTGTTCATATTTATACAAATCTAAAACTTTAGATTTCCGAGACTTAGAGGGCGGGAAAACGGAAGATATGTTAGGAATTTAATGATTAAATTGTCATTAAAATATTAAAAGTGTGGAAAATTTATACAAATAATATATATATTTTTTAAATTTATATCTTCGTTAATAAAAACACGTGGCATTTTAATTTCCAATTCGTCATTTGAGATTTCAATAAATTATTTTGCATAAAATACTAATATTTCATAAATTCTCTTTACGAATTTTTAATTTTAAAAATAGAATTTCTATAAGGTAATTCAATTCACCCTTTTCACTCTCTGTCTCAATCGGTCTTATTCGTTCTCTCCCTTTTCTTCGACAAAAACGCTGCACATCTTCGTGACGTTCCGTGAAAAAATTACCCTCATGCGCCTAAAGAAGTTTCACTTCAAAAAAGGTTAAAAATTTAAAAAGAACTCGACACAGTCGTATTTGTATATGTTACGTTAGTAAATGATTAAACTTGAATTTTAAACATAACAATACTAAAGTAACGTACCGTTTTATTAAGTAATTTACCGACACAACCACGACTATGGTTAATAAACTAAGACCTCCACAAACGAAAAACACCAGTTTTTTATTCATCCAATGTAGCTTGCTCATATTTTTACAACATTCACGGAAATCATCTATTTTATGTAAAATATTGACATCTTAAACAGTTCTACAATAGTAACTAAATATTCAGTAAATGTTACGTTTGTTTTACAACGGCTTATCTTACTTGTTTGTATAATACAATCACGATTATTACAATAGGATAAAAATTTATGTAGATGTTGACAATGGTGTCTATTCTGATGAGCACAAACTGGACGAAATTTACTAAGGTAAGTCGTGTCAAGTAGTATATTATATTCTTTAATCTCTAAATAGTAGGTCAAACTAAACAAAAACAGATTTGATAGGGCTATACAATTTTAATTATATAGTTTATCGTAACTAAGATACGGTACTTGAAATCAATTAAATACATTTTGAGAATTTTAGTTTACAAGCGTTCAAATACTTCTAGTTGATCGTTTGTAGTAGGTATGTTTTTATAAATAATTGAAAACAAGACGTGTTGAAGATGTTTCAAAAAGAAAGTATGTAGTAGTATAATAAATGTAATATATATGTGGATTAATAAAGTGGTAAACTGTTATATAATATTATGATCCATAAGTGCTAATGTGAATGCTAAAAATCGGTATTCAATTTTTTTTAATAATATTTATCGAACTTGCTGTAACTCCTTTCGATGTTTCAACGGTAATAGAATATTGACATGTCAAACTAGCATTTTATTTTGAATCTGTATTCTGCATGATCGTTGTGAGACGATTTTGTGGATAAGCTATATATTATACTGTTAACACGTTAACATTGTTCAGTCACAACCACGTTAAGCGGGCTACACTTCAGTTTTAACTGTGCGATTTAACTGTACAGTTCAACTGTAGGTCCATACAGCCTACACACGATCAAGTAAAATATACGATCTTTCAGTTTTTATCATCATGGCCTCCATAGACGACGCTTTAGCGATCGTAGGGCTAATGTGTGTGTTAAAAGAAAATAGAAGAAAACGAATTATTACTTTTAGAATCTATTTCGCGTAGTTTTAAAATAAGCTTTTCATAAGCTGAATCTTTTATTACTCTATTATGATAATCCTTGCTCTTGATTTTCCATAACGAAGGCTCCGATTGGTATAGTAGTATAAACTATAAACTCTTCCAGCCATTCGCGTTGAGCCATGGTCGATAAGTTTTCGCAAAGGCAGATAGCAAGGTCTATATGTGTTTACTTCACGCTCGCTGTGACAAAACTGACAAAACTGCGCAGTTTCGACTACACACTCTCAGTTTTAACTGTACAGTTCTACTGTACAGATTTATCTATTCATATTTTGATTAGATTCAGTTAAAACTGTACAGTTCAACTGTTTGTTCTACACACCTAACGATTTAACTGTACTGTGCACAGTTAAAACTGAAGGTGTGTAGCCCGCATTAGGCTTAATATTTTTCAAATAGGTATGGGACATTGCAGTATACCGAATTTATCGCTATTATAATAGGTTATTATTTTTCATCAGAGAAAAAATGTTAAGTATTATTATTATTTTAATATAACGGCTGGTAATTAATTTAGATCAGTATTCAATCATTTATTTCATTAAAATGTAAACAGTTGTTGTTATAATTTAATAAGGCGACATCTATCGTTAATACACGAAAGTTTTATAAAATCAAACTTCTATAAATGTTATGAGCTCGAAGTAAAATTTAGAGATAGAGTTTTGCTATTTGTATGATGTGATACAGGTACTATTTTTTTTATTAATTATACATTACATAAATTATACAGATTTCTGTAATATATAAATATTGTAATATTATATCAGAAATACAGATACGCTTACAACATTTCCGTCTTCAGTATATATATAATGAACCCTGTGATCATTGTCATTTAATACAGTGCTGTGTTAAATTAGGAATTAAAAGATTCAAAGTTTGTACTCGTAGCACAAAGTCAAGTCAGCAATAGATGTCATTATTTGTCTATTTGCGATTTTTTTGCAAATGATGACATCTATCGGTGACTGAAACATGCGTTTGTGCTACAAGTACAAAAAAGTTTTTCACACGTTATGGAGACAGGTGTGGTTGCAATGTAATTTAACTTGCTATTTGATACAAAGAAAAATAATCATAATTATTATTCTTTTTCAAAAGGGATTTCTTAATACATCTGTGTAGAAAAAAACTAGAGAAATAGATTTATATAGTATGTTTATCGAAACAATAAGATTTGGGCACACTTTATAAATCGGAGAATATGAAATATCTATGCCTTGTAAAATAAAACCAATTTTTTAATGGATATAACAAGAAATATGTTTATAGGAATTAAACCAATGATCAAACAGTCTTTTATTTTCGTATATTTAATTTCTTTGCTTATACTTTTCGTTCGCCCGAAAATTCTTTGAAATCATGCTGAAAAGAAATAAATACCTTTGAACTATCAAATTGGAATAAGGCATTAGTTTTTTACTGTCTACGAAATTGATGTATCGGAGAATTCCATTCCACTTGCCTTATTTTGTCATATACGCAATGTTTTTTTTATAGAACAAACAGGAGGCTCACTTAATGTTACATGTCACAATACGAGACTTGACCCTCAGGTGTATTGGCTTGGAAATACTTTGATCATTTACATAGTCGGAGAATAAGACTCGCAACCATAGAGACTATATGGCACTAAAAATGTTAATGTGATTTATTTTAATTGGTCAGAATAAAACTTTTGAGGTAAGAGAAAGGGTTATCATACCTGACTGAAGAACCACCAGCTTCGAATATTTTCTTTAGAATCTTTTGGGATTAACTTTAAGTATTCGGGTGCGTTGTCATTTATCTGAATATTATTGAAGTTTTTCTAAAATTGAGAATAACAAACAACACGTTTATTTACGAAAAAAACTTGCACGGTAAGGAAATAAAATAAGAGGTGTTGCGCATATTATTATCAGTGCTCTTGCGCACACAAACGTCTCTTTCGCATTCGACATAATGCCGCATAGTCGTTATATTTTCCACATTACTGTTTTTAAACAGTAGCATTCATGTGTTTTGGTTTACTTGCGAATTAACTTAAAAGTTTGTGCAACAACTGTTCTTAGAAAAATAGAAATATATTATGTCCAAGATTTTTGTAGTTATCCCTCCTACTTAAGTTTTTACTTAAATGTTATATAATAATTGAGTTGGAACAATGTTGGCCAAGTCGGTTGAGTGAGCGTGCGGTGGAGCGTCTCCAACCCTTAGGTCGTATGTTCGAATCACGGTTGTGTACCAATGGACTTGGTTGTGATGTACGCAATGTATCGCTGCTACGATCGCGACGGCGCGTGTCAGGCACAGGGCTAATCACTTACTTGTCTTTTAAGAGAAAAGACTAATCAACAAACATAAATCTGAGTTCAAGAGTTTGTAGTTGTAGCGCTACCTTTTTATATTAGAATATTCTATGGACTATCTTTAGAGACACTATTCGCAAATAAATTATGTATTAATTAATTCATTACATGAGCTTTAATCCAGTTCTTCTCGGTTACACCACCTTCAAATTCTATGCTTTTTGGTGTTGTACTTCTCTCTTCTATTGAAATAATATCCGCTGATGATGAATGTAATATATCTTCGTGCTCGTTTCTGAGTATCGCTTTACTATCTTTATTTATTTCTCGCAAAGAGAACAAGTACTGAAAGTTATCTTTATGAAACATACATATATTATTTTAGGACTATGAGTAGCAGAGGGATTACCTGATGTAGCTGTAGATGGGGGAAAAACATTTCCTCAGACATATAACTCTACTAACATACAATAGTAATACGCCACGAAATTGACATGAATAAATAAGAATTCTATTTATTTGCAACACAAATATCGCTTAAGCTTTCCTTCTACCTTCCTAACATAATCGACGCCTTCAAGATTTTACAAAACTAAGCTTTCAGGGTCGTTTTTCGGTCTTGACATGGCATGGCCCATTTTATTTTTATACATAAATTTGGATTTGGACTTAAATTGTTAGTGGAGGGGCGAAATCTGTGCTCCACTTAGTAATTAGCTGTTCGAGATACGGGACCAGTAGATACGATCTGGAACTAGAAGCAAACCGGAGTATAATTGAGCTCACTCTTTGCAGACAAGAAATCCCGTATATGCTGGAGTTAGAGTGTCAAAAGATGCTAATATAAAGCCAAGTCCACATTTCAAGGATCGTCATGCTCGCTTAAATGTCATTGTTTGTGGCGGCGTCCATGCGTCGGGTTGTCTCTCTCCCTAAAATATGGCGTGGGGGCCGATGGCTGGCCATGCGTCATACTCGTGAACGGGTGCTACTTGTGGTGACTGGTCGTACTTGAATTCGTGTATGCGGTGATGTTAATTATTTCGACTATGTGTTTGCGTGTTGTTCCCACGAGAATGTAAGTGCGTGCTCCTATTTCCCCATGCCTCCTGCTGATAGAGGTCAACTCTTTGTTTTTAATTTATGTTATTAGTATTAATTACTTAAGATGTCATGTGGAACATGGTTTAATGGTTGCAGCTCCTTACAAACGTTGTGTAAAAAAAACATGGCGATTAAAAAGAGTGGCGGAGAGTTTATTGCCAGTTCTTCTCTTCCGTTCTACGCCCTTGATTTGAGAACTGGCACTAAATGTAAAATTAGAAGCATTAATATGTATTTCTTTACTGACAAGTCATAAGTGTACAATGTGTTACCTATATGATTAAATGATTTTTGAATTTGAATTTGAAAGCCTTCGGCATTTTAAAATCTGGTGGGTTTAAAAAATGGGCTTATGGCGATTAGAGCATTCTAATACAGCAATTACAAAACTGGTCTCCACTTTCACCGCTCTAATTACCCTATTTCTTTGACATATACGGAAAGCATTTATGGCTTTTAATCAAGAAACCTTTGTGGTCCCAATTTGATTCATATATAATCACGGAAGACTACACACGCGATTTAATTACATTATATACATAAGTACTAATTCATGGCTCATAATCAATCCAATTGTTATTTGGTACAAAATTTACATGATCGAGGTACAAATTTGTATATTATTTTTACAGATTACAGATTTTATTTTAATTAAATAAGACAAAAACTAATTTAGGTATGCATAGCAAAACCTACCTTTGAATGTACAGGAACAAATCTGGAACATTTTGTTAACGTACATATATAAAACCAAGTATTATGGTACATATAGTTTAGTAACCAATATGTTAAATTAATTATAAGATATTAATGTAATTAACTTTTTTCATTAAAAACTGAACGGTTTTTTTCGAGACAATTTTTGGTTTCCATGAATCGGACCTAGAACAATTATACAGTCATGAAAGTGTTTAAAAAATGCTTCAAAACTCAATCTACTATTCCCATTTTCTATAATGAAAATAATGATTTTAATAAAATTGTTAAAATACCTTTTCAGTCTTCCGTCATGACCCTAAAATTAAAATGATAATATTATGTTAAAATATAATGCACATATTCACATAAATTTGAATTAAATTGCATTTAAATTAAATGCTTACAATGGTATGGTAATCCTTTTAAAATATTCTAATTGATCATAGAGATTTGTACAATGTTAATTTGCGTTTCAATTGATTATTTCTACATATTTTTACTTACGAGAAAAGTGTAAACCCCTATATATAAAGGCACTATTCAAAAGTGTTTTATTACCAGTTACCTAGATTTATTAACTGTACTGTGAATTATGCTACTTAATTATTTTTATAAAGTGTAAGGTAGTAACAGAAGTAAGAAAAGAATACCTTATAATACTTTGAATTATTCCAGCGCCATTTTTTGTGTTTTCTGTAAAACAATTATTTTATTATGAAATCAATACCCTGTATAAGATGAATAGTGATCGCTGGTGCACACACACTTTTGCTAACCGTAACATACAATTACTTAATCGAGTAAAAATTTACCACGACGTTGCTACAAAAAACAGTTGCATAAAATATGTATGAATTACCATGGTACAAGTTCAGGCGGTACCAGGAAACATTCAAATTTGGTGACTGTACCCAGATTGCACCTGATTTGAATTTGAGAAGTGTTTAATACTACGTGGACTGTGGGTACTAAGCTTTTCCTATCTTCCAGTTTCTCCCGGATACAAAGGGAATTGAAGGAGATTGACAAACTCAATCACGAGTCTGAGTTTATTAAGTTTTCCTATCATAAAGAATTATCCTCTCAATAGAACAAGCAATTATGCCGAAAAGTTTGAACTGTATTCGTCTATTTATTTAATACCACTTTGAATGTGACGGTGGAACATAAATTTACATTACAATAATAATATTATGCTTGGGAATTAAATAATCTACTACAAATTTGAGTATGACAGATAGTTGCTTGATGTATGTCGTAGAAGCTTTTACAAGACTAACCTACCCCACTGACATAAGAGAACTCAAACTCAAACTCAAACTCAAAATATCTTTATTCAAGTGGGTAACCAAGTACACTTTTGAATTGTCAAGTTAAATTAATTGTAAATTTACATTTACTACCAGTTCGCAAGTCAAGGGCGTAGAGCGGGTAAGAAGAACTGGCAAGAAACTTTCCGCCACTATTTTTAATCGCCAAGTATTGTCATACAAATTGTTTGAACTGGAGCAAATCAATCCCAAGGATTAGGATCATTTAAGTATTCCTAAAATTTATAAAACGCTTTATTGATTAATTGCCGTTTAACGAGGATTAATCCGAGAATTAATCATTATATACTTACTCCACATTACTAAGATAGTTTTTCGGTGATTCGTTTTTATTCTGAAAGAAAATTTGTCTTAATTAACCCGAATTTTATTTTTTATTATATTTGAGTCACATACACACCTCATTCTTCACCGCAGCTATATATAGCTTTGTTTTTCTGAAATTATTATTCTGTATTAATTTTAAACATGATGTACAATGTCATATAATATTTAATCAACTGTTCTGTGGTTGCGATAAGTTTTTGAAAATCAGATCAGTATTTATTGAACTAATCAACATATTGATAAAAAACTATACATCACTAGCTGACCGGGCAAACGTTGTTTTGCCATTTATAATAAAAAAATAGGGGTTGATCGTAGTGGAATGAAAGTTAAGTGCTGTATCATAAAAAAATAAAAACAGATAAAAATCTATTAAAAAAAAAATATTTAGGGGTGGACTACCCTTAACATTTAGGGGGATGAAAAGAATAATGTCCGATTCTCAGAAATACCCAATATGCACACAAAATTTCATGAGAATCGGTAGAGCCGTTTCGGAGGAGTTTAACCACAAACACCGCGACACGAGAATTTTATATATTAGATTAAAATTTTTACAACAGTGTTTACAATATGTCAGTACTGATTTACGCTGTTGTGATGAAGATTTAAATCAGTGTTGGCCTAATGGCTTCAGCGTGCGTCGCATGTTTGATTCTAGGCTCTGCACCAATGGACTTTTAATCTATATGCGCGTTTGACAGTAGCACATACGGGGAAAGACTCAAAAAGTCGACGGCGTGTGTCAAGCACGAAGGCTGATTGCCTATTAGAAAAAAAACAAATGACTGATGCAGAAATCTGAGACCTACTCGCAATGGTTATTTAAATAGAATGGTGACTGCAACACTTGGTTTTGAGCTAAGTTTTCGTGTTTAGAAAGCAAGCAAGGTAAGGGTCTTTCAGGGAGAGTTGGTGGGCAGTAGGTTCATCATGCCTTCGGAAAGAAATTAACAAAACAGTATTATATGTTCTGTAAGTTTCGAGACTAAATATACAAATCAATATTTCGTAGGCAAACAAAAGTTAAAGCTAAGCACTTGGTTAATTAATAATAATAATCGATCTTAATTAAAAATAATTTTAACAAGCAATGAAAATATTAAATTTCTAATTACCCTTTATGCCTGAAGTTCAACTCTGCAAGTGCTTTCATTAATTGCTTTTTGAAATCTTTATTGTCCTGAAATTGTGTTGGAATTACTTCTGTTGATTAATTTTTCTATCGTAAAATATGATTTGTTTGTATCGCTGTTAAATAATTTCATCGAAATCTATATTATTTACATTTTGGCTAAATTGGCAATCAGTAAAACTTAAAATATTAAAAGCATAGTCTTTGATTCGTCTATATTCCACCAACAGATGATACACGTAGTACGAATAGTTTTTACACATTAAATGCTTGCTTTCTGAAAACTAAGCAAAACTTACGGATAGTTCAACAATTTTAACTTGAATTTATATCTCATAATTAGTAGTTGTATACAACACACGTATGTATCGTTAACTATGCACTATGAATATTAATAAGTTGATTTTATTTTTAAAAAAGATATTAAGGTGCCCAGTCTTGGACTAGTGGCGTTCAGCGTGCGACTCTCATACCTGAGATCGTAGATTCGACCCCCTGCCGTGCATCAATGGACTACAATCTATATGCGCCTTTAACACTCGCTCGTACGGTCAAGGAAAACACCGTGAGGAAACCGGCATGCCTTAGACCCAAAAAGTTGACAGCTTTTGTAAGGCATAGAAGGCTGATCACCTACTCGCCTGTTAATAAAACAACTGGTAACGAAACACGTACCGATATTTGAGGCATGATGTTGCAGTGCCACTGGTGTTTTTGTGCTTTTTTGGCATATTACTTTTAATATTTATTGATTTATAAATAACATTTGTTACATACCAAATCTAAAACGGTCGACGCTACTTGGAACCTATAATAATTAGTATTAAAGTAAACGTATACGAAATAAAGTATAAAAAATTTAAGTGTTCATACTCAGTCTTCCGCTCCTTTTGTTTATTCGGTAAAACCTGTAAATATTTGTATAATGTAAGCAAAATACTCTGCTTTTAATGATCAATTGCTTTATTTAACGAGTTTTCAGAGGAACTATCAAAGTCGACAAAATTTTTAAAAAATCCCTTTAGAATTGCCAATTTTTGTGACCACTAGATGGAATAGTCTTTCAAAGAGAGGGAACATATTTGAATACAAGACACAAACTCATATTAAAAAAAGTTCAAATTGTATAATTAGTATTAAACTTAACCTAATTTAACGCGATCTCCCTTATGACAAAATCTAATACGTTTCTGACATACAGGAACTTAGTGTTACTCTATCTAAAGGTCAGTACTCACATACGGTATTATTCGATAGTTTAATCGAAGTCGAGTAAAAATCAACGTGTGGACCGCAAAACTCATAGCTCGAAGGCTGGCACCGAGCCGGCTCGATGGAATTAAATGAAAGTAATTTCCTTCGAACCTACTCGAAGCGAGCCGTCAATCTTGAGTCGAACGTGTGTACGTGACTGCGAGTGGCGCGAGGCGAGCGTCAGTCTGGTACTGTTTATCGTGATTGAAATACATGTTTTTAAGAGAAATTGCGAGTTGCGAGTTTGCGAGTTTATTCCAAAAGCGCTATAGAAGACTTTATTAACACATATAGACAGTGTGAGTGTTTATGGAACGTCAAGTCCAAAGATTACTCCCACAAAAATAAGAGAACTGAATGTTATGATAAATTTATTTTGATTTTCTTTGATTTTCTTATAAATCACTGTGAGACTTGCTACATGCAGCCACCGTCTCCTTTGTTGCACAGTCATCCTTTGGCTCGAACGGTTCGGTGAATACTGAACGGCGCGCCTCCCTCGATAGATCAATGCTCAATGTTTGGACGAAAGCCCATGCCATGGGTTTAACTCGACAGTTTAGCTCGATCGAGTAATACTGTATGTGAGTACTGACCTTTAGTGTTACCTCATAGTTGTGACACACGCCCATTGTTAAAGACACGATATTACGAGTAGGTATACAAAGGTTTTAAGTTTACTTAATATTCTTTTCCTTTTAAGATTGTGTTTCCAACTTTTGCACATCCAATTCGAGAGCCGGGAAATTGTAGATTTTCTCACTTGCTTTGAAAATCTCAGTTGTTTCCGTAATTGCATCCATAAATATAGTGCAATGTATTTACTGTTACACAAGTTTCAATGTTCTCAACCAAAACCGCTTCGCAGGCACAGATTTATATAAAGAAACCAATGTCTGCTTAGGTAAGGGCTTATTATTCCTAGTCTGCATTCCCATGCTTGCAATGCATGCTTAAGATACTTTACAGTAACGATATTAAAATTACCATAACATAATCAGAAGGTGATCTTCGAAAGCCTGAATAAAGTACGCGTTCATTTTTGGCGTCGTATCTGTAATAAATACGAAGTATTGTGAAAGGAACATAACAACTACTGGTTTTGGTTTACGATTTATTTTTAAACATAGAAATATTTATTTGCATGAAATTAGTTACAATGTGCTTTATTGTATAACACGTGGCGTCTTTTATTTTTAGCAAAAGAAAATCTTTTGCACATTAAATTATACAAATTTTTTATTAATTTCATAGATTTAAAAGAAAATAAGAACTGTATGCTTAGTAAATTTTCTTTAGAGTTCAGGGCTTGCTAAATAGTTTATACTGAAATTTAAATAATAAACTAAAATAATCATTAAAAGTTTAAAGTCTGCGCTATTATTCTACCGTGATAAGTAAAATATTTAAGATAAAGTAATTGTACGACTCGGCTTCTAAGAACATTTAGTTAGTTCTACTTTATAATGAAACGCATACTTTGATTTCATTTATTTTTTGCTTCATAATTATATAACTTGAACGTGGAATTGAGTGTAATTGATTTATTAAAACATATTATTATTAGGTGCAAGTACTTCATACACATTTGGATAAAACTTATTTAAGAGATATAAACGCGGCTTTCAGCGATCGTGGAGAGCGAGTCAGCTGTAAATCTACGTTTATCTATCAATTATCAATTAATTCATATAAATTTAAAAAGCTGTCGAATCAATTAATTTAATATTTCGAAAAGAAAAACATACTCAAATTAAAACTTGTACCATTTTGTGTAATCTGCTATAAAATTAATTTAAAAGTTTTCAATATGTTTGTAAATTTGGGGCTATTTACGAATATCGGAAAAAAAAGTTGTTACGAAAGCTATGTTGCTACGAGTGCTCACATCTGAATCATTTCATCTCAATCAATAGAATGAAAGAAGGACGATTCCATAAGTTTTCTGTGGTCCAACCAAGATGTTTGAGGTGTCAAATGATTCGCAGCGGCAGCCGGCATCACCGGAAAATTAAAAAAAAAAAAAAAAAACATTTTATACTCATAACTTCAATCAAATTTATACTTGACGCTGGCTAATGCACAAACCGTGCCAGAGCCATAAAGGAAAAAAAAAACTTCAATCAAGTATGTTATTTTTTAAGAAAATTATTGAATATAATAATATGTTCTCGGGTAGTCAACATTTTGGAATACGTTTCTTGGAGTGTTATGATTATTACATTCGTATACCGGATTTAAGGATGCTCAAAGATAAAGGTAACAAATTGTTATCAGAATAAAGCCAGAAGCTAAATTACAAAGGAATAATCTTGTTTGCGATCGTAATTTACACTGAGGGCCTATTTGTATTGTTTGGGACATTAATAATGTCGTGATGTTTAGCTTTAAAGTTACAGCCATTTGAACTATTTGTTACTAACTTATTACTATTTGTTATTGAATGGCGCTGAAATTACATGGGAAATTGATAATGTTAAATCGGTTTTAACATAACATAGTATGGATGGTAAATGTTATTTTTATTTAATAATGTCGTTTAAGAAATTTATCGAATTGATTGGTAAGGTTTGGACTATTTTTTAAAAACGATTTAAGTCGTTTTCATAACACTGCGTCCGGTTCCTGTCCAGCCTATAAACTTGATTAAAAAAAAAAAGTATTTAAAAGCTAACCGTGGTTGCGTTGGCGGCTTATTAAATTGTGAAACTCTTAAGTACCTAATATTTATTCTTAATGCGCAAGTAACTGTTCTTCAAACTGTGAAGTAAATCACCAGCTCGACATAGACTCATGATTGTCGATGAGTCAGAGTCAGAAAGCAGATTATCTACTTGCCGACAGATAAAAATTAACAGCCTAACCTTATTCCCAAATTTTCAATATTCCCATAGACTCCAGCCGCGTCTTCCAATTCTCTATGCGGAAACTTTACAGCTGACTTTAGCATGCCAAGCGAAGGACGAATGAGGGTGTGCCCGGGAAGTATCGATTCCGCTTCGGGGAGGTGGTTGGGTATTGACGGTACACCAACTATATTTGAAACTTCTCTGGGGTCTAACGGGTAGAAGCCAGACCTACGCTGAAAGGAAATAGGAGCAGCTTGTAGTAATATAGAAATGCATAAACTTATGGAATATTTTTTACTACCTTTGCACTTAGACTAAACTGCATATTTAACAATGACTTTTTATCAAATAAAAACAAGTTTTGTAGATATAATTTATAATACAAATAAATTTTACAGAAATCCAAAACACATTTAGATCCATTTTAATATCTTAATCGCATTCAATATCCATAAACAGATAACATAATTAGAATACTTAGCATTCTCTATCTATTTAAATGTTTGAATTTAAAGCAAGGCACACGCAAGAGTTTAGTAATAAGTAGTACTAATGCAAAAATAAATTCGAATAATCAAGCGGCCACAGTGAAAGATCTTTATGTTGAAAATAAAGTTTTATCACGGTCCAACCTCACGTGCACCTGATAGGCTATTAATTTTTATATACGGTGAAAGCGAACGAAAGGATTTTATAAGAGTTATTGAGGAAAGCCTGCCAATTGCGGAAATCGTATCGCTTCAAAATAGTAATATTAAATGAAGCGCAAACTAAATTGAAAACTTGTTACAATTCTACTTCAAAGGAATATTTTTTTTATTTCAAGGGCATTGATCCTGATATTTTTGTGACTCTGTTAATTTTAGTACCCAATAACAGCGCATAAATAGAATTCTACTTATGTACTTACTTACAGGGCAGTATTTATACGAATATATTGACATTAAACTAAAACTTTCATAAATAAATATTATTTATGTATTAGGGGAAGCAAGAGTGATATTGATTCAATATCTGTTTGAGGTTAATTTTGTTTAATAGGAAAACCGAGTGATATTGTCAAAAGTCCTGCAACTAACATCACGTAGTGGCGAAACATAAAATTATTACTAAAATTATCAATATTGTATGTACCACAGTACATGAACATTATGCCACTAGATGGCGTTAAACAATAATTCAATATTAAGTTGTAATTCGCGTGCTATATTATTGTACGAATGAGTTATTTAATTACATGAATACTAGAGTTTTTATAGATGACCAAATTATTTCCATTCTAGGATTCAAAGTTATGACCATATTTAAAGTTAGCTTATTAATAATTTAAAACTTACAGATGCTAATGCGTTGATTCCTCCATTACTTACAGCGCGTGCAGTCTAAAAAAATATATTGTTAATGTTATATCAGCTAATATTGTTAATCTTACTGGATTTTTTTATATCTGCGTCCTCTTTGCCGTGAGATCGCGCGTTTTACCGCAGATGTGAACCAATTGGTTTTACATTCTATGCGACATTTAACAACCAATAGTGCTCGTGAAATTTTACCTACTATACGTTTATTAAGCTTTATACGCATCATTATTAGTTTTGGATAAAATTCACATTTTACTACCTTATCAAATAGGATGTGAGGAAACATTTTAGGAAGTGGGAGGGAGGACTTTGACTTTCTTCAAAATATTAAGTTCTAGTTTGTGTATTGTTTAATTTCAATTTTCTTTTTTTTATCTATTTATGTAATTAATTTACTTATGTTTATTTTGTTTTATTTATTTTATTGTATGTAATTTGTTTTGGCGTTGTATATTGTCTGAGTATTTTCCTTTTTTTCTAATATGTAGGTACACCTATGTAGCTGTAAGATTACTTAAAAATAAATAAGATAATAAAATGCAGGTTATTTTATTTATCAGTCGCCTCTTCAAAAACTTAAACGTCTAATATATTATGGGATCAGTGACTAACTTTTAACTAATTTATCCTACCAACGGGTGTTTTATACACATACAAAAGACGCGTTAGTATACAATTAGGAAACACAAAAGATTAGAACGTGTAGGTACTTCAGACTTTTAAAATCTACTGAGGTTAGGTTAGTAACAAGTCCGTTCCGCACGAAGTCTCGAAATAAAAGTGAGTCAACGCCGGTGTTGCCACGCTTTATATAGGTTTCTGCTACAAAATGGCGTTAGTCCGCTAACACGGCCTCTCCTGACACCCTGACGTCCTCGTCAGGATTTGATGTTCCAGCGTCTATACTGTCATCTCTGTGGGTAGAATAGAACGTTAGAACATTACAGTTCTGGGAAGGTATTGCGTCGTCTATTTGGTCAGCAGCTGAACATATTTACTTGGTTTAATACAAACAATCAAAGTAATGAAAGATAGAAAAGGAACTTTAAAGTATCAGACTCCAAGGAATGAGTGAAAGATTATTCATAACCCTTACAAGATTTGAAACAAACTAGCACTTTCATGTGTAAAGGACTTGTGTAAACAATCACAAGTTTAGTATCACCATAAGAGTAGATATAAGGTATAAAGGTCTACTTATTTCTCAAGAAGATCGTGAGTTTGGGGCTAGTTACCCTGTCCATTGATCTTTTACCATTTATACAGGAAGATGTGAGTTTGGGACTGGTTACCCTGTCATTGATCTTTCAAAAAAGCAAATATTACAGAATTAGATAGCTTCAGACTTAACATAAATAAAGACAACTCAGTATTTGCAATACACCGTCGTATCGACAGTGGCTCCTAGTGCTCTCATAAGCGACAATTTTTTAAAACAGAGACTCATACATTTTGCATGTTCTCTAAGTGGTCTAAACACATTAGCACCAGAATAACTTAAAACAGAGACCCATACACTTGTATGTTCTCAAAGTGGTCTAAACACATTAGCACCACAAAAATTTAAAACAGAAACCCATACCTTTGCATGTTCTTAATAACAAAGACCAGATCATCCTTCTGGAATTTACAAGGGGGGCTACGACCCACATTAACGACAGTTCGATTGATGATGTTTCAACCGTTCGGGTCCTCTGTCAAAGCATCTCTCGTCTACCTTGCTGACTAGACGATCCCGAATTTAATGTGAACTGTTGCACTCACAAACACAAACAACATTTTAACACAAAGAGCACTTTTAAAATGTTAATCACTTGTGACTTCGTACATTACGGACAAAAGAGAAGAAGAAAATTTAAACCACAAAGATTACTCAAAACAAAACAAAAGAGAAGTGAGCGAAAAGTTCAAATCCACTTCTGATATTAGGAAACACAAAAGATTAGAACGTGTAGGTACTTCAGACTTTTAAAATCTACTGAGGTTAGGTTAGTAACAAGTCCGTTCCGCACGAAGTCTCGAAATAAAAGTGAGTAAGCCGGTGTTGCCACGCTTTATATAGGTTGTACAAAATGGGAGTAAAACAATAATTTGTAAATTATACATTTAATACTAAACTTACGGCAATGTGTTCCAACTGTGTTTGCAAACTCACTCCTCCACATTGATAAATACACTGAAGTACATGAAAAGTATTGAAATAATATTTTTAAGTATAACACATGATTAGTGGTTCTCGATTTAAAGAAAAAAATCTTGTCGCTATCATTGTTTCTTAGATAAAATATGTGTAGAAAGGAACTGCCCGATACTTTTCGCATATGGAACTACAATTTTACAAATGGTATTTAGCAAAGAAAACTTATATTCAGAGGATAATATTTGATCGATATAGCGGTAGAAATTTCGTATACATATAAATGTGTTGTTTTTTAATCACGTGATCACAAGTTTGTGTCATCAGCGCTACGGATGTGGACTGCATCGAAAATCGCGTAACATCAGGATTGCTAATCATCGCTCGAATTAAGAAAAATATCACTGTAAAATACTTTTAACCGTTAGTAAAAACAAACAATAAAGGCAGACATTACTTACAGAAATTAGGAGGATAATTTCGATTGCTTCCATTTTATGCCTCCATAGTTTTCACAAGACCCTTGGTTGGCAATCAAAGTTTTCTTATTAAATTTGATTGGTTAAAATAATTAACAAGTTTTGCGTCCATGAAATTGGGTTTTCATTATTTTAAATTAGAATTTTAAATAATCGTACTAAAAATATAATATTTTCCTTGCATTTATGAGGTTTTAGTGTTTAACACTTTAGTTACATATAGCTTAATATTTATATCTCTTCTGATCTAGTGTTAAATAGGTTCAGGCCTCAAAAAAAAAACAATAATTTATAAAACAAATGTTAATAAAAAAAAATATTTACATATGTGATACAATAGTGTAATGTCCTCATTGCAGTTAACGATGTTAATTAACATATATATCCTTTGACAGTTTTCTAATCTTATCTAATCCAGAACTTATTTTTTTTCTCCTCTCCGTATTTTTCGTATATTTGTACTTAAAATACGAAGAGGAGATACTGATATTTAATACCTACTTTTTCCATAAATTATTAACTATGTGTCCTATGTCACACACCTAGACATATTATTACATTTTGCCGTATTTATATTAAATATACAAAGAAACGAGCAGAGAGCAGTGTTGACCTGGTGGCTTCAGCGTGCGACTCTCATACCTAAAGTCGTAGGTTGGATCCCCCGGCTGTGCACCAATGGACAATGGATTTTCTGTGCGCATTTAACATTTGCTCGAATGGTAAAGGAAAACATCGTGAGAAAACCGACATGTCTTAGACCCAAAAAGTCGACGGCGTGTGTCAGGCACTGGAGGCTGATCACCTACTTGCCTATTAGATTTAAAAATGATCATGAAACAGATTCAGAAATCCCTCAAGACCTAAAAAGCGGTTGTAGCGCCACTGATTTATTTTATTTATTTATACAAAGAATCGACAAATTATACAGTTTTTAAAGCATTAATATAATATGAGGTTCGAGGTAACTTGAGGTTTGATACTTGTAAGCATTTACAACAACCCTTTGTTTTTTCGCGATTACAACACCTTTAAGTAAAACATCTCTATGCAAACGCAAAATTACACAACTGAAGATATGCTCACAGTCCACGATTGCTGAAAATCACTCAAAATTTTATGTTAATAATGTAAGAAATGCGCGTAATATCTTAATTAGGTTTTTTTAAACAGAACTTGGTATTCATATAAGTAGGATATATAAAATCAAAGCGTTGAAAGTGGGTCATTCAATCGTGACATGCACGATTCAGGAAGCAAACCCACAGCCAATCGAGACAGGTGCGGCTAAATGGATCGGACAAAGAGCTCTAAAACCCGCTTTTTGTATTGAAGCATAGTAAAATATACTTAAATACATCACAGTTATTTTAAAACAAGTAACCATTACATTTTATTTAATACATGGTCAATTTACCAACATTAAATCGTAATGACACACAGTGGCAGAAGGAATTGTGAATGCGTTCTTTCCAGCTATGTTGATCAAATGATTGCTTGCATTCGCTCTAATTGTATATCACACGACTGTATACTACCATAGAAACGTAACGTAAATACACTGAAAATATTACAATGTATTTAATACTCGGTGACAAAAAACAACACTAATATTATGTTTTCACCGATTCGGGCAAATGACTATAATATGAGGAGTGTTCACGCAAAAGGTTATATCTACAAAAATAGAAATATGTTTTTTTTCTTGATTCTGGGTCAGTACATTAAAAAGTACAATCCCGACTAAATAAAATTGTCCAAAACGCTTAAAGACAGTATGACTGACCAAAACGCTGTAACTTTTTAACTTTTTTGCAAATGATTTAAATTATGACCAAAAAGCTTTTAATTTACATACAAATTCATAAACTCGCAAATAAAACCGTACAAAAGGTTACATTTGTCTAAAAAAACGTATTGCTAAAACACATTCAAACAATATATTTTATATAACGGTTCTTGGTCGTTTTTTTGAGGTCTACTTTGGGTTTACAATCAATTTTTTTTTATTAAAAAAAACCTCAGTTTGACAGCCACTGTCAAAATTCACAAGAGTGCATTATTTTATCTATGAATGAATGATACTTTCTTCTTTTCGGCGCGCAATTTCTATCTATGGGGGCGGCCGCATTGCAATTTTAGTTCTGCCTGCTTTTTATTAAAATAATATACAATACGAATCTCTCAACTCTTTAGTAGTATTTAATTGATAATATCACCAATGGAGACAACCGTTAGTAAAAACAGATTTAAGCAACCTAGGAACAAAATAAAGTAAGTGTCTATTCATTGGTATTATTTTAGCTAGCTAGATAGAATCACTATAATTTACAATGTGTCATGGAATATATACTAAATCTTTATTTCGTGTTGTTTCAGAAAGTACATTGATAAGGACCCATTAGCTACGAACTTTAAAAAAACCTGTAAACACAAAAACAACAAAGACTTTCAAGTGCTCTGTTTTGTCGAAAAGAAGTGATTCTTAACCGTAAAAGATTCTTTCAAAGACAGACAAAATTGATCAAGACATGTTTCTAAAAGATTGATTGCGCCTTATGAACCTCAAAGAAGACCACTAAAAAGACCTGCAGTATTAGTAGAGAAAGAAAAGCATCTTGTTCCTATTATTTCCAACCATAAGGTTATATTTTATTAGGTGTCTGACCAAAGACAATAAACACAAGATACTTTTTTTTATCTCTTATAATTCTGTGTGTAGAGGGTAAAATTGTACAACGGGTAACTTAGTTCCCTCCTTCAAACATAGAGAAAAAAAACGATTACATTTATAGTTGGTTCTTTATTCACTATTCTATTGTTTCTTGAAATTTTACTTAACATGTAGATATAACTTTTTGGGGGGCAGTCCTCCTCATATGTAGTATGTAGTTTGTAGGCACTACTTATACTATGAAAACTTCGTTATGTTACACACAGTTAGGATATATTTTAAACGGACTTTTATTTCATACGCTCATACGGGTAATGAAAATATCGTAGCATGCTTTAGAACCAAAAAGTCGACGGCGTGTCTCAGGCACAGAAAAGGCAAATAAATGATTTGCCTATAGATATAACAAATGATCACGAAATATATACAGACTCCTTAAGCCAAGATCTAAAAGCCACTGTTTTTTTATTTTATCTATACCACTTCATAACATATATTATAACGCTAAGTTTTGCTTGCTTCTTTGGTTTATCGCGCCATGGTTGAGAATAAATGTTAGAAAAAATGATGTTCGAATTCATACAGTCTTTTTGTGTTAGTTACTATTTATTCAGGATATAAAACATTACGCCTGAACCAAATAAAAGCAGGTGAAATCACAGCATTCAGTCAGGGACTTTATAAAGGGACACTTTTTCTTCAGTAGAGTCACATGTCAACGAAAATAAAAGCCCTATTAATCCATGGGAAATTAAGCGGATATCGCTGTCGAGGGCCAACCATGACTCGTCAATTTATCAACATTTCGTCTCGCATCGAAAGCTCCCGTTTTATTCCTATCAATTACTGTCAGAAGCAATTTATTGCATCACGAGAATTGCCCATATTATATAGGCGATTATGGCTGGTGAAAATTTTGTCATTGACGAGCCAATGAAACTCGGACACACCTATTACGCGTTAATTATTGTGAAGCGTAGATTTATTTTTAAAGTATACTATTTTCGTACAAGGAATATTTTATAGTGCAGGAGTGCCAATTCTTAGTCAAAATCTTATGACCCCAAGTGACGTTGATACCCTATTCTGATGTTACACTGTCTTGCAAGCATCTATATGGAAATGAGGTGGTAGGTTTTGTTTTTTCTTTGTTCAAGAACTCAACGATTGACGTTCATCAGTGCCTAAAGAAAAACTTACTCTAATGATATATACGTTTTGTTTCAATATTAACATTAATTAAAGCGTTTTCACATAGGTACGACAATAAGAATACCGATAAATCATAACATTATTTATTCCAAAGGTTTGAAGTCATCCTGAAAAAGATTGCTTTAATATTATTCGAAGAATATAAAAGTGCAAAGGCTTGATATTAATATTACGTACTTGATTATAATACCACCACTTTCTGCCAAAAAATAATGATGAACCAGAAGGACCATAATTTTGAAATATTGGTGCGTAGGGGTTCACATTCATATGGTCACCATCCATCTAAAACATGTTTTAAGATATTTTACTATTAAACATTAATTAAAAAAGTTATGATACATTGTCTGCACTACGGCAGGGATCGTATTTTAGACGTATATTCTAAATTCAACAAAAAAATCTAACTTCGTTGTATTTATGGCTCTGGCATGGTTTGTGATTGTAGGTACTTGATTAAATATTTTTTTAAAGACTCATCAATAAAATATAACAGAAACCTTACCGATATCATTGGTACACAAGTATTTACTCCTGTCATTCAAAACGAAACAAATATAATCCAGTTACGAATCGAACAAGGATTATATGCCCCTTACGTACCTCTATGCGCTATATATATTATATATATATATATATATACGGTACCGTGTAGTATTATGTTAATAAGTAAATTTTTGATCGACTTTAAAATTGACAAAAAAAATATTACTAAATTAGCAGAAAGTAAATCAGACCTGGTGGTTCCATAACCAATTTTGTTTATATTTGTCCTTGTGTATTGTGAAGGGGTTTCCGGCATTCTTCTCGTAGTCTGAGCTGGCTGATGATGGAGAAAGATCGGATGACGCTGTCGACTCGCTACTTTGTCTTATTCTATAGGCAGATTTTATTTTTCTGGATCGACGTTCGTTATTTACCTAAGAAGTCAGTTATATGTGAGACGAGCAAAACGAAAAGAAATTTTAATCTTAAATAAATGGTTTGGCAGTCCTTAAAACTAGATATAATTCTGTTTGACAACTCTAGAATACGGAATTACAAGTGACATCGCATGCTTAAATGAAATATGTATCCCGCAGTAAAGTAGTTAAATCAGATAGTTAATTTAATCTCTAGACAGTTAATTGAAGATCGATATTCAATCAAGTCGCTAGCATTTTGATTTAAATAAAGCAGCGTCGAAAACGTTTAACTATCTGTCTGATTGAAAGCTTTACTGCGACATGTATATAAACAATAACGTATAAAGCAGGCACTTTAATGCGCTTATTTAATATTAAAAAAAATATTTTACTTACATTCCCATCCGTGAATAAAGAATCTGCGCTGAGAAATTTAAAATTACATTTGATGCAAATGTTATATAAAACACTTCAAATATCTACCTTATGTGGTAAATAAACATGAACATTAAAATCACGTCATTATGTATTCATTATATAATTGAAACTTACACTGAATTTCGTACCATTGATCGTCAGCTTGCTTTTACAATCGCGCCTACTTTGACTTATTAAAATGTACTTACTCATCCAAGATTTCGTTTGCGCCATTTTCATCTTCGATCGACTGAAATTAAATTTTTTATTAATTTTATTATATTACCTATTTCTGTTATTGTATAGCTTTCTTTAGCTTTTAATGTTTGCTGTCTTTCGTAGAATGAAACCTTGAAACTGGAAGCTGGATAGATAATCTTGAAATTGAAGCTGATACTTTGTTGAGAAGTTTATAATATTCTAATAGGGTTAATTATTTTAGCTTTCTTAAATAATACTCTTTCCCCAGATAAAGACTTATTCATAAGAATATTTTCGAGTTATTTGTGGGTAACAAATAGTTCTAAAAATGTCATAGCATAAAAAGGGTTCAAAGGTTTCCAGACAGGAACACAGATTCTGAAAAGGACTGTTATACTTACTAATACATATACTTACTAAATTTCTGACAGTTTCCCTGGAAAATAAATAGTTAATGAATATGAAATAAAGTGCGGTATTTTATTAACATTTTTAGCATCTATGTATGTAATTTTTTTGTGTTGTTAAAATTTTGCGTCTTGTATTAGTCACATAGGCTTTAAATTTTAATGCACTTTCTATTTGATTCTAAATTTTAGTAAAATCTGACTTCTCAAACTAATTAAGAGAAGGTATAGTGCCACTCTTCTATGGATCTGAGATCTTCATTTATTTAATTTCTGTATTTTATTTTGTTTCCTTGCGATTTGTTCCTTCACCTTTCCATTTGCGAACAAAAAAAACTTAATGGTGTTCCACGCTACCTTCTCAACCACTAATGCTTTTATATTGTATACGACTTGGAATGATATACTTACGACGGTTCTTTAGTTAATGGTAAGTCAGTTCGGTCAAATTCAATTACGACCTAAATAAAATATTATTTTAATAATAGTAATAAAGCTTAAAATTAATTTAAGTCTTAAAGGTTGTGTGTTTTTCTAGCTCTCATTGATTTCAACTATTTTTAGATTCTTATGAAAATTATAAATTAAAAATTATTTAATTACATCAGTTATAGCATTCTCTGAGCATAGAAACCATCAACGGGATTTCCTTCTTCTATAATAAGCTATATAAGGGAATCCAAAAACTAACACAATAGATTAAAGTTTAAAGGGTCATATTATACATAGATATAAATTATACATAGATATAAATTATACATACCACTGGATTACTTCTGAAATTAGTAAATGATTAATTAAAATTTAATTATTCTTATAATATAAACTACTACTTATACTACGGATACTTACATTTGATTTGTTTTTGATTTTATATTCTTAATAGCACCAACTATAGCTGCCTGTAAACAAGGTTTTTATGTATATTAAGAAAATTTTACGTTCGATTCTCGGAGGATTAATCAAAACTGGAAGGCACAGCCTTGCTGTAAGGAGGGTAATCTATGGAAACAAAAATTAATTTGAATCTGCCTCGTGCTTTAAAATAAATGATTCTGTAATCTTTCAACTATCTACAGGGGATCATAAGCTATACCGTGCTGTGTTTCGGTTTTTTGGCTAAATGACTACTTTTTAAATAAATTGATGTACTGATATATCTGAATGTATAACTAGTCTATTACTGTCAACATATAAACAACTAGCTGACCCGGCAAACGTTGTAATGCCATGTATATTATTTCTAGGCAACATTTTGTTTAGTTCAATAAAAACAACTATCTATAATAATAAAAAAATAGGGGTTGATCGTAGTGGGGTGACAATTTAAGGTTTGGGGGTTGTATTTATTTATGTTGTATCATAAAAAAAAAAAAAAAAAAAATTGTCTAAAAAATAAAGAAATTTTTTTTTGGGTGGATACCACATAGGGGTTTGAAAGATAGAAGCCGATTCTCAGACTTACTGAATATGTATTAAAATTTTCATAAGAATCGGTCGAGCAGTTTCGGTGGACTATGGGAACGAACATTGTGACACGAGAATTTTATATATTAGATGATAAGTAGTAAGAATACTTACCATGACATTCTCAGTTTTTCTAAAACCTGTATATCTAATTCTCTCATTGGTATTCCCAAATCTAAAAATGTATTAACATTTGAGCAAATATTAGGACCTTTTTATAGATAACTAGTGGACCCCACAGACGTTGTCCTGCATGATATTTAATGCGATTAGGATATTAAGCAAAGTATGAAAGTACCGACTGCAGTGCCATCTGCCGGGCTGATTTGTGAATCTAAACCATTCCCAGATCCCCTTGAACACACACAAAAAATTTCATCAAAATCGGTCCAGTCGTTTGAGAGAAGTTCAGTGACATACACACTCACAGAAGAATTATATATATAAAGATGTATGTACCTTTTTTATTTGTTTCTATATTGAGTTGCAGCAAATATTGCACTGCGTGTTGAATATTGTTGTTTCTGGTATCTAATTACTAATCTTTGAGGAGTTTATACTCACGCTATTCCAATATTATTTATATTTCCATATACATTGTTGCCCACACTTCTTTGAGGAAATTTCACTGCGGACTTTAGCATACCGAAGGAGGGTTTCAGTAACGTGTGCCCTGGTAATATCTTCTCAGCCCGTGGCAAATGCTCAACATATTTTGGGACTCCCAAGATTTTTTCGTCATCGGTTAAGATGCTTCTTCGCTGAATATGTCATAATATTACTTTTTTGTTAGTACCCTTTATATTTACAAAATTTTTATTTAAAAGAAGATGGTGTAATTGCGATGTACTGACTGAACTCTAACAAAATATTAGGTTCTACATAGGAATAAAAATGTGTTTTAATTACATTTATTTTAAATTCTGGGGACACGGGAGTAATTTCCTTTTCTCGAAGCAGTTCAGGCCTTTTTCGGCCCCCTTTAACTTCGTTGAGGATAAAATTAGAAGCCAATGTATTTGTTTAAAACGTAAAAGATTTTTTTATATTGATATGGTCAGAATCCGATGTTGCTAGGTTATCTAATTACGTAATAACTTAATACAGAAGGTCCCTTAAGTAGGGGCTGAACAAATAAACCGACTTGGTATTATATGGATCTCACAACTTTTTACGGTTCTGCATAACTGCGTAACTGCATTGCAAGACTTGGTTTCATTACAAGTTATGTTTTTGATGGCACATATGATGGCATTACTTTCAATGAAATCCTAATTAGATTCATATTACCTTGTAGTGTATTAGTTATTAGTATTACTTTGTTTTTCGAAAGACGTATATTTCCACCCGGTAGCTGTTTTAACGATGATATAATATTATTTAAACAACAGTCGTTGTTATTTACGTACAGCAGATATTTAAATAAAAAATTAAATTAAAGCCTTATTGTATGTAATGTAATCTACAGTCGAATTTCAGGTACTCCGCTACGCCGTAGTAGATGATGCTACGCATATAGCAAGAAATACCTCCAAATATCGATGTACAGGAATTTTGAGAACGCCGACGTTACTATTAAATAAAAATGTGTGCGCGTACTAGGTGTACACACGTAAGAAGTGAAACTTCTTTATGACCTTATTAGAAACTATTTCTTTAAACACAGTAAATTTTGATACACTGCCTAGCATACAATTTACAAATTAATTGCTGCAAATTGCGATTAGCAAATTTCAAGTCGAAAATGTAATCCGTTGTCAAACTTCAAAGTCAAAAACATACTATATGTCATATTTTAACGCCGATAAAGAAGTTTGACTTCGAAAATGTAATCCGTTGTCAAACTTCAAAGTCAAAAACATACTATATGTCATATTTTAACGCCGATAAAGAAGTTTGACTTCAAAAAGCAACATGGCGCGTAACGGAAAAATGTAACGCGTAACGCAAAAATGTTACACTACATTTTTTTCCAACCCCGATAAAGAAGTTTCACTTCAAAAAGGAATTCATTTTAATTTCAAAGGTAGTCCAACAAATATTTTATTAATTTATTGAGTCTATTTATATTGTTATGAGCTAATTATAACAAATAAATAATTAAAACTTACAGTATGTGTTTGGCATAAATTATGAAATTCTTAAAACTACAAGAAATACCACTTCTGCTCGCAATTAACCAGGAAAATTATTAAGAGTTATGTAAATAATCTGACGGCCAAACAAAGTGAAGAGAACATTCTGTTTAGGACTTAAATAGACACGGTTGAAAGAGAGGAGCAGTCTCGATGGAGATTTTGCTCTGAACGCCTAACAGCTCTCAACACATCTGCTCATAGTCTAGCTGACTGATTGCAAGATAAAGACTTATATAAAAAAAAAAGACTTTACTCTCTTGAAAAACAAGCTTGTAAACTTAAAATTTTAAGCAGATCAATCCAAAAACTAAGTTCACGAATATATACCGATAAATGGCGCATTTAATAATGTATGATGTTCATTAAAACTTTGATTCACTAGTAATATAATAGATACTTTGTAGCATAGATAGTGGTGAAGTCTGGTAAAAAAGTATATAAGTAATATATTATATCACGTACCGGTACAACTATTCATTATACGCTCTGTTCGTTACTAAAAAATATGAGTATAATGCCTAAATCTGTGTATATAATGCGCTAAGTACTACGGTAAGTTTCATTGCTGTCTATTACGAGTTATTTTTGTAGAATTAATAGTTATTGCTTATTATAAGTTTATATATTCTCTAATATTATTGGTGCAAAGTAGGCAACAAAGCTCCACTCACTCAGAAAAGGGTTAGCCAATGTACACGAATATTCACTTCATGAGTTAACTTTAGTTTCAGTATACTAAGTTTAGTACGAGTTAGTTCTAACATGCCTTATCAATTACCGTTACATTAGGTCGATATTTCCGAACCTTCTAATAGTTTTGGAAATGTCTATTTAATGCTAGCAACTTTATGAAATTTCGTTATTAAATTTAAATTTTCAAGATCAATTTGATTTTATAATTGGTAAATATAATTTAGAGCAGTGTTGGCCTAGTGGCTTCAGCGTGCGACTCTCATCTATGAGGTCGTAGGTTCGATCACCGGCTGTGCACCAATGAACTTTCTTTCTATGTGCGCATTTAACATTCGCTCGAACGGTGAAAATAAACATTGTGAGGAAACCGGCTTGCCTTAGACCCAAAAAGTCGACGGCGTGCGTCAGGCACAGGATGATGCGTGATCACCTACTAGCCTATTAAATTAACAAATGATCATGAAACAGATACAGAAATCTGAGGCCCAGACCTAAAAGGTTGTAGCGCCACTGATTATTATTAAACTTTAGATTTAATAAACTAAAGAGACCATCTACGTAAAATATATATATTGTCATTCATAAAGAGGGATCTGATAGTATTTGAAAAAATATGAGTGTATTGCACTGAAATTAATTTTCTAAAGGCATTTAATATATACTATAAATGACGTGAAATTAATTTATGTATAATTTTAAGTCTGTGACAATGTGAACTTTGTATTTTGTGTGATACTCTCGTAGGTATAGACCTGAACCTGTCTTGAGTATGAAGCTACGTTACCGTACAATGATGCCTGTGACAGGTACCCGTTTGGAAAACATGCTGGTTTACTTACAATGTTTTTATTCTCCGTACAAGCAAGTATTAGTTAGAATAATAAACCAAGAATACTCAACTCAGCCGAAGTTTAAACGCACAGCCTTATGCTGAGAGCAACTTTATACATATACCTACGCCTATGTAACATTCTTTAAGAAAACATTCTTGTTTTGGAGGTGCCTCCAGGCGAAAACAAGAATTTTGTTTCCTCTGTTATGTTTACCAAAATTTGAATTAATCTCACTTGATCTATGTTACATTTCCGCTGTTTATAGGTAAATAATAAGAATTTAAAAAATATATCTTGTCTACCGCGAATTATTTTTTTATTGCGCACTAGTTCGAGCCGTAACTTATTACGTAAACATATCAAAAAAAAAAAAAGGGGGGGGTCCCCCCCACACAAAAACAAACAACAACAAACAAACCCCCCGCCCCCCCTTTCGGCGGGGGGAAGGCCGCCCCCCCCGGGGGGTTAAGAAAAAAAAAAGGAAAAAAAAAAAAGAAAAGGGAAACCAAACGAATAAAACAAAACCCTGGGGCAAACGGGGTTCCCCGTTTTTTATAAATTATGATTAAAAAATGTCACTTACTTTATCTTAGCGTTTGTCTAAACTGGCGTAGGAAGATCGTAAACTATTTGATTCTCAACGGAGTGAGACTAGTGCTGAATATCTACTTATCGTAATATAATACTTTATCAATGAGACAACAAAATTATGTGTGTCCCATAATTCATTTTGGGAACAGAAACCCCTTTATTAATCTTATTTTGCTATTTATTTAGAGAATTGATAACATAGTACTTACTCTCACTAAGTCGATGAGATTTTCCAGGTCAAGAGATTTGTAACCCTTGACTACGACAAGAGTCTGTAATCATACAATTATGTAATATTTATTACATATGAAGCTTCCATTACATATTTTCTTTCTAGTTTAGATTTAAAGTCTAGAAGGATTCCAGTTATTCAATAAAGCACCGTCCATGTTGCAATGGTAATGTGATGAAAGAAAGTTTGTGCGCTTCTTATATTTTACTAGCGACCCGCCCCTGCTTCGCACGGGTGCAATGCTGATACTAAATATACCACAGAAAAACTGTGAACATTGTATATAAAACATAGCGGCCCGCTCCGGTTTCGCACGGGTATTAAATATATAGCCTATGTCACTCACTGAAAAAATGATTAAAATCGATTCAGTAGTTTTGATTTGTTCATTACTGCCCGTTCATTATTTCCCTACTACAAATTGGATATTTTGATTAATCTCGTAGGGTTCAGCCTGCGTTTGCATTGTAAGCGAAAAAAATGTAATTATTTACGACATCACATTAGAAACCTCAAAAATACATATAAACCTTCCTCTTCAATTACTTTATTTAAAAAAACCGCATCAAAATCCGTTGCGTAGTTTTAAAGATTTAAGCATACATAGGGACAGAGAAAGCGACTTTGTTTTATAGTATGTAGTGAACATTGACGGAGTTTTAAAGCGCCGAATAGAAAGACCTCAATACAATTGTATTAAGAATTTCATGAGAAGACTAAAACAGTAGTTTTACTTATAACTTTGGTGCAATAGCGCTGTTATTTTATATTGTAAATGAATGCTAACAATATGAATAAGTAAAATAGTAGTAGTATATAGTTTAAACAAAAATAAATGTTGTTGAATCATATTTTCTTTGATTATAAGAATCTTTCCAGGTAAGTAGTTGTGTGTCCGAAAATGCGTTATCTTGGGTGGAATATTGTATACATATACTATAATAAATATTTTGGTGAAATATTTTTTTTAATATTACAATGGGCAAAAGGTTCACCTGATGTTAAGTAAAACCGCCACTCATGGACACTTAAATTACCGGAAGGCTCGCTAGTGCGTTGATGGCCTTTTAATAATTGGTACGCTCTTTAATGGAAGCGCCCTAAGTCCAATTGCTTCGGAAATACTTTTGTGGGCAGCTGGTTTTACATAGTGGTGGTGCGCGGCTAAACTGATATGCGGTGATACGGATGGAATTTCATATTATACCTTGACGTCCAATGATGAAACTCAGCAGGTATTAAGCTATTATTGATGGAAACCAATCCTGGTCGACTCTGATTATTACTATCGAAGTACCATACTGTTTATGTTTAATCGCAATTAATATTACAATACACATAATGAAATACAAAATAATAAGAATATTTTAATTAATAATATCACTCACCACAACTATTAAATACATAACAAACCAATCCATTTCAAGGCACTATTATTTTACAATACCATTAAAAACTCCTATAATAAAATGTGTGTTGATTGCAGTAGCTTTCAACGTCTAGTAAATATTTAACTTCAGTTCTTCGACCTGTAATATATCATCAACTTAATGAAATAAGATACAATTTCCTATGTACGTATCGATATTAACGATTAATATCAAACTTACAATATCCATTGGTTTGAATTTTAAGTTTGGTTTTCAATTTTAACTCGTATCATGATCGCATAAAGCATATTTTCCATACAATAATTTTAATGTAAGAAATATCTTAATAACGAACGTATAGTTAATACAAAATGCAAACCGTAAAATGCGTTTGTTTTAAGTTATTCGTTCTACGATATTTAAAACAAAATATTCTTGTTAATACTTAAAAAAAGGAATGGTTCCATGTTGAATACAATGTCTACATTTTCTGCTATATATTATATGAATAATTTATATGTGAGTAAATAATAAATATAAGATTTAACAATAATAACAAATGTATCACATTTCTTTTAACATTTATATATTGTACATTATCATATTGAAATCGTTATATAATAAAAAAATAAATCATTGACTTCTTTGGACATTGCAACAAGCTTATCTATCTATGTCTTATCATTAATACTAATCCATTAATATGAAAAATAAATACGTAGCAAAATACGTAGAATCATTTGGAATGATAACCTCTCTACAACTTACTTTGTAATTTAATAAACAGGCGGACGAACTTTAGTCGCAAAACTACCGATTACATTACCTGGAGGGTGATAGTTTGCTACAACATACACGTGTCCTTCTTTTGTTTTCGCATAACCTACACCAACCTCCATAGTATCTTCCCAAACAACCTGGGAGAAATGACCTGAGCCTAAATTATCCGGCTCTTTGCCAAAATCATGATTCTGAATCTCACTATACCATTTGTCTACTGGATCTCTTCCAGTTAAAACAAAGTTTGGATCGGATGACCAAGCATAGAATATATTCTCACCATACTCATTTTGATCTCTATGTTCAACTCTTCCATTTTTGGATATAGTTTTGGCCCATTCCTCAGCATACTTGTTAAGTTTTTTATTCAGAACTAGCGGAGGGACACGATGTTTACTGCGATATTCATTGTGAGCATTTAAAAATTCTTCTTCAAATTTATCTGATGATATTGTAGTTGACTTTAATTTAGTCACCAAATCAGCGGCGTAATCAGTTAGATTTTTGCTGGTTCTTTGTGGCGATGAAGGCACGTTATTATTAGATTCATAAGGAGTACTACTACTAGATTCATCGTTAAAAGTAGATTTAAATTGAAATGCACCCGGCGGTGGAACGTTTTTAACAAATTGTTCACCATAGTTTCCTGGAGGGTAGTAATTAGCTACTACGTACAGCTTACCAGATTTACTCTTTGCACATCCAATTCCAAGTTCTTGTGTGTTCTTCCAGATTAATTGTGTAAAATGTCCGCAATTTAATACTTCCGGTTCTTTTCCAAATGAGTATTCATTTATTTCGCTGTACCATCTGTCTATGCAGTCACGTGCTCTGATCTTAACATTTGGGTCCGATGACCAACCACAATATACACTTTCACCGTAATCTGGATTTAAACTATAGGACATAGAGTCCTTTTTGGCCAACTCATCGGCCCATTTTTGACTTACTTTGCAGATATCTTTATTAAGGACTAATGGCGGTGTGCCATGTTCTCTTCTGTATTCGTTATGAACGTCTAAAGCTTCGTTCTCGAAATCGCTCGCTTTTGATTTAAAAAGTTTACTCTGAAATTAAAATATATTGCATGAGTTAAAGGAAATAAAGTAATCACTAATGCCACGCTCTGATTCAGAATATTTTCTTATCGCTCAATGTCACTTAAACATTATTTCATTTTAAATCCACTGTAACCGGGTGTTCATTCTTGATATTGCTAATACATTAAATTTTCGAAAGATTTACGAACGCGGCGACCGTTTACTAATTTATGTCTCTTTTTGAGGCCTATATGATGTATTAATTATGTAACATTACGAGAATTTAACTTAAATTATTAGATATATTAACTAATTAAATCAAATTTATAAACATAATTTACCATGATTTTTTTGGTTACACGACTATATTTGTTACAATAGAAATTATTACTATTCTTTGTAAATTATATCGAATTGGAATGTGATAAAAATATTTTAGATAAGGAAATAGGTAAAATATAATTTACGATTTTATATCTTTCGACATTGGTCATTAGTTTTCCGGTTCATATTTTATTTTTATTTTTATTAGTTTAGTTGTCAGAATTTTTATTCTTGTATAAACATATGGTTTTTATATGACAATTTAATTATGTGAAAGATATATATCTTTACTAGATATACATATGCTATTTTAATATTATTCAGAACGGAGAACATGTAGTTATATTTAAAAATCTGTTTAGCCCTCTAAAGATAAATTGTGTCTCTTCTATATTGCGGACCATGTGATAGTAAACAACTTCACCCCTTTTCCGACAATATAAATAAATTGATTTTGCTATCCCTTTTATTTGCGGGCCAGCAAATAGAGATGGAACAATTGATTGCATTGCTATATGGAAGTTGAAATGTACGTGAACACTGAATGAATTTTTGTTATTAATTTGTATAAATAATAACAGTTACATAATAGTTTAGTCCATTAATATAATCAATTTCATGGTTATTTGGTTTGGTTTAAATGTATTGTGGTGGTGTTGGAAGCGCTTGGAAAGAATTTATCCCTGAGATTCTGGGCTTATGTATGGAAAATGGTAGTAGGTGCAATCATACCTCTGTCTCATATCGGTGGGTTTCGAGTGCAGTTTCTAATTATCAAACAGGTGAATACTTTTTTTGGAAAAATACTAAATAAAGTCATGTATCAGTCATAAATATATCCGGTCTAAAAGTAGCTCCATTTCGCTAATAAAGTAGATTAGACCAATCTACGTTTCGCCTCATCCTTAATTAATATGGCCTGGGAATTCTTCAAATAGCCCATATTCCTGACACGAATAGCGCCTAGTTTATGTTTAATAACGATATTGGGTCGGGAACACAGTTTTATATTGGTATCCCGAAAACATTTTCTTTTAAATGACAAAAGGACACAGTGCCTGTATAATAATTGTTTGGCATTGGATAAGCGTAGCGCTGTCAAAGGTGGTCTTTTTGAAATGTGACCCACAACAAAAAAATAAATACAAACATGGAAAGAAAAATGAAGAATACGCTATTATTAGAATTGTGTAAATCTAAGAAATTTGGCACAAATTCCTGACATAAAGGGAACACAAATATGTTTGTGTAACAGAGAAAATGTGTGTGTGACACTAGTATATTAGACAGTAAAAGGACCTTTATTTAAGTTTCTTCAAGATTTAGTATATAACTTTTTGGTAACAGTATACCGGTGATTCATTGAAGTTGCAAAGTGTAATAAATAAAAAATGAGAAAGGTTCGCGGCGTGAGGGGAAGTTTTGTTCTTTTGCAGATCACACATGTTTGCTCCAACATCTTGATTTTCGTTTTATAAATAATATAGAAAGGGCCGCGTCTTTTCGAGTGTGTTAAATGTATGTATTTTAAGATTTTAAGTATAATTTCGTAACGGAATTTAAAACCTTAACGGTTAAAAAGGAGTATTATTATTTTATTTAACAAAGTTTGAGATAGTCCTCTATCTCAATTTACATTCCTGTCTGTTCCTGATTTAAAATGTCAAAAAGGTAAGGTTTAAAAGTTTCAAATTTAATATGGCTCCTATGTAAAATTGTGAAATCCAAATAAAATATAAAGTCTACCAAACATACGAATAATAATAATAAAATAAATACGAAAATACGTATTAAGAAATCACAATTTCATCAACAACAAAAGCAATTTTCCGCGAGTTTTAACTTTCGTCCTTCATTTTCTGATAGCCAATTGGTAGTCAGTAAGCGTAATATAACTCGAAATATGAATTAAGTACTCACCATTATATATGCGTATTTTGACCTCTGTAATCCGTAATTAAAATATCACTATCACATGTCCAAGCCCCTGACCCACTCGGTTATAACCCGTACTTTGCAATGAGAGTACCATTATAAAATTGAGCGTTATCACGGCTCGAATCCGTCTCTATTAAGCCGCGTATGTTAGAATGAGATGGTACAACAATGACTGCTCCCTTCGTCCTATCAGAGATTACGAATTAATAGAAACTTCGTGTTTAACTCTTATCAATGATAGTGAATTGCTGATATAATTTTTATGGACCTGTTCTTGTTATTTGATGATTGAAGCAATTATCTTTTAAGCTATTAAACTGCGACGAAATAACTCTATAGTCATATTATTATAAGTATATAAATAAGTGTACAAAATATGTAAAATAAAAACAAAAGAAGGCTTTCAGAACTACTAAAGCTTAATCGAACATGTCTAAATTCAAAACTTCAAAAAATATTTAAAAAATAAGGCATATACATGAGGTGTAAGATTTGCGGTTTTAACTTAGTTAAAGAAGAAAGTTGTCTTATCCATCGTCATGGTCAATAATATTCTTAAGTATTTTAAAATTACTATAAAGTATGAATTTATATATTCCAAAAATGCCGGTGCCCGAAAATGTTTACATCTACCATACGCAAATGCTATTGCGTACATAGAAGGTTAATAGCCTAATCCATTGGTGTATAACCGGGGTTCGAACATTGGTCCTTGGAATCCATGATCTTCCGACTCTTTTTAATTGTAAAAATAAGCGATGATACACTGTGCTTCGAGTGTAAGTTACGATGTGAGTATAGCAAACTATTGACACTAGCCTATGTCGACATCACAATTATATTATAACTTCTCCAAGAACATAAAATTGCATTTTTTTTATTTAGGTTTAACCGTTAGTCCCTTACCCACGACTGCTGAATAGCACGAAACGGCGAACTGATATTAATAAATTCACGTTTTTGTTGGTTTAAGAAGTTTTAATTAAATGTGTAAACAAGGTTATGCAAAGTGTAGATTTATTTTATAAGCGTTAAGCCCCTGGTTCGCACGCCTGGATATTTATTTCATTTAATATGTAATATTTAAACAAATGGTATTACGAACTTTTTTACACATATTAATGTCTTCAATAAAATTGTTGTACATGACTTTGTTCTATTGTTAATAGTTTCCACAGAGTACGTGATATAAAGATTATTATATGTATTTTTACATCTTGGGTTACATTATCGATGTTTCAAAGACATTCCTCTTACTAATTTGAAAATATTCTATAGCCTATGTTAATTAGGGATAATGTAAAATTCTAGTGGTGAAAGAATTCTAGTTTTGAAGCCTTTTTACACACAATCAAATATTTCCTCTTTATAATATTACCGTAGATATTTGGAATACAAATCATAACTAACTCGCTATCGCATTAGCTTTCGCTAACGCTCTTGCACATATCCACAGTTGAGTTCGTTACATACCCACAGAGTATCATCTAATCCCGCATGACTGAGCGAGCGGTCACAGAGCGATTGTTTTGTACGTGTTCTATCAATTTTCGTGACTTTCATATTTTTTGTTGAGCCTTTGTTGACCACAACGGGTAATTAGTGCGTCACATCGTGCGAATTTTACCTTATTATTTTGATGGCAACAATAACTAAAATTGTACTTTAATGACGGCAAAAAAACTGTGAACTGCGGGAATGATATATGTGTGAATGACCTCTATGTAGTGAGCTAAATAAAGAAAATTTTAAATTTCGATCTTCAGGGCATTATAGTGTAAGCAAGGAAGTGTACAAATGTTACTTAGTTACAGTTTTAGCGAATAATTTACTTTATTAAGTTTTATATGTTAAATATGTCCGAGCAATGGCGCTGGTATCACCTGCCATTGTCATTATATGTTACAGAACTCACGTCAAAGTCTTATCAGTTTATAACCGTTATTGCTAGATCTACAAATTAACAAATTATTTGATAGCCTGTAGTAATAGTAATTTCATAGTCATTATTATTAAAGTCGGAACAATGGCGTTAGTGTCAGCTGCCATTGTCATTATAATTTAATAACATCAAAGTTAAATCAGTTCAAAACCGTTAATATTAGTGGTTTATTTGATTTGACAATATTGCTAGATTTATAAATTAACGACAATTTAATGGTCGACTATGGAGTCATTTCTTTTTTATAAGTTTTTATCTTGCAATCAGTCAGCTATACTATGAGCAAATGTGTTAGGGGTTCAGAGCAAAGTCTCCATCGAGACTACTCCTCTCTTTCAACCAAGACTTAGGATTTGTCGCCTTTTAAGCCTATTTATTAGGTCTATATGGTTAGTTGCGTGGCAAGCTTATTAGGATGCATTTCTAGCCTTTTGTCTGTATTTTATACTCCAGGTCTTGATCACCTCTTTGACAGTCCTGATTTTGAGGAGCTCATGAATTTCCGATGTTTTTATAAACCACGGACAGTTGGATATTTGTTTCAAGATGTTATTTTAAACCCTCTGTATGATACTTATGTTAGAGTCACACGCCGAACCCCATAGTTGAATCCCGTATGTCCAAATTGATTTCAAGAGCATTTCGTAGATGAGTAGCTTATAATCTACTGACAGCATGGAATTTCTGCCAAGAAGCCAGTAGAGTCCTCTGTATTTCAGGTTGATTTCTTCTCTCTCAATTATTCATTATTATTATTAAAGGTAATTTATTATAGCTTTCAACCATTGCAACTTAAAGACAATCAATATTAAAGTAATCTTTGACACTCGTTCATGTGACTGCCGTTTGACTTTGTAGTCGATTCGGGTTCGGTCGCGGAACAATTACACAAAATGTCACGAAATTCGCTCGTTATTGTGCCTAATTTTCCTTCACCGTCCCCGTTGTCTGTCTTACCCTCTTTTCCCGTCAATTAGGTTTAAAGGAATGTATTCTCATTAAAAACAAAAACATACTATACGATATTAAATCTATCGCAACACCGTCGTACGCATATTGCATTGAGATCTACCAATAAACTTCGCATCGCAGGCGTATTTAAAACGGGTCAACTTCTAATATTTTCCGTATCTCAGGAGGCAAGCTGTTGCTTTGCCCCGAAATATTTATCTTATATTTTTGCAACCGTATTCGGTTCTGATTTTATGTAGATTATATTAGTGTTATTCCGGCTGCTTGTGGGATTGAAGTTAAATTTAATGCCAATGTGTATTTGGTTATGTATTTTTTTAAATGCATGTTTATACAGCTGCTTAATGTTAATTAATTTTATGTCAAAGTGTAGATTGTTAGGAAGTAAAAGTAGGATAAAAAGAGGATTTTAATTAAATTATTTTTTGAATTTGTTTACTAGTTGAAGCGCTACCCCATACTATCAAATATAATAAATATGATTTTACTAAGGAATTGTATATTGTTATTCAAACTGTTTTTGGATAGGATCTAGTTAATCAAACTTTACGAATTGTCTTTGTCATACCATTCGTTTTATCCTATCTCACTCCGTCATATATAAGAATGACGGACCCGTACAACATTCAGGAATAATTTAAATCCTCATAATTGGTTTTGCAACTCTGAGTACCTATGGTGAAAGTTGTTGATTCTTTGGCCGCGAAGTTCAATCAACGAGGTGAATTTTAATGTCCAATCCATAAAACATTTTAGTATCTAGTAAATCGCTCGCAATGCCACACCTCAACAATCTTAGTCCGGCGACGGAGCTTTGCTTAAACCGACACAAAAAATGTATAAACATAATATTGTTATTGATTTCGAAAAGGTTTTAAGCTATTGCATAGATTTTATCGCGGGCGCGAGCGCGGTAATCGAATCAAGAAATTCCGTAACGAAATAAACTTAACACACGATGACGTAAAATAGGTGCGGCCAATACGCGTTAGAGCGGGACAGAACGCATACTGCGTCTCACATCGATTTAGCATGATCGGATAGGCGTGTTAGTCTGAGTGGTAGATTGAATTAAAATCAAATAAAAAAATACTGCAAAAAATAAATAAATAATTATTATAATGCATAAGTATATAAAAAATGCTATGCAATAGCTTTACCGCGGCAGTCCCCGAGTGCCACACGTATTTTTTTTAAATATAAACTTTATCATTTGTAGAAACGGACAGAGGCTTATTATATTTGTAATTTGTACCGTGTAGTTATAAATATACGTTAAGCTTTTGCCAATTTAAACAAGAAATATTTCTTCTAACGAAAATTATATTTCGAGGAAATCCCAAAGGCTTCAATTCGCTAACTATGTATTACAGACAATATGTGGACAATGAAAGGTCCCACGTGCTTTATTATGATGGATACCATAAAGTTTTGATATGAAATTCGTTCCTATTCATAATTTTATGACCAGTATTTTATGATACGTTGACGTTTCATGGCAATCTTTGAAATTGCTTTGTTGCTATTATTGCTTTGAGTCTGGCCATTTAGATGGTAACTTTAAAAAGATTATATTTTATCGTTTGCCTACATCTTTATTATAATTTAGCTGTAGCTATCTTAATAACTAAGTTATCCATAAAACACGTATACGTTTATCATGGTTATGGACTTTCATGCTTACCATAATTTACCATTATGAAATTCAACTTTGAAGCAGGCAAACTAAAACAGCTTACTTAATAAACCCAGTTTTTAGAAAAATTCAATTTGTAAATATCCTACATGTCAATATAAAAAATGGAGTTTAATATTTCTATTTAAATAATCTGGGGGCATACTTTGAGCTCTTATTGCGAGCCTATTGACAACCTACAACTGAAAAGCATCGTACCATGACATCGAAAAAACGAGACAGTTTATGTTCCCACATAACCTTCGCGGTTATCAGATTTCGTTCCTTCAATTTGTATTAGAATTCGTACCATGACCGCTGGGCTGAACCGAAATTTGACAGTTGCGCTTTCCAACTATGACAGAATAAGCGATTCTAAAAAAGTTACTTTTTGTTCAACTTTTTGTATCGAAATGTCCAAATAATAGTTAAGAACCTATAAAATTCAATATACGTATCTAGTATGTCTATGTTTCGGATATTTTAGGGTATTTTGAGTTTAGAAAGTGTGATTATAAATAAATTATTAAAATATCGACGGAGATGAATAAACAAGACGGCAATGCCCTTCTACCGACTTCGTAGATATCGAGTTTATAATTTGCTATAGATTAACGACTTTGATTCGTTGAAGTTTTCAGTGTACCTACAAATAATTGCACAAACTGTTCAATAATATTCAATTAATTATTTAGGCATGTCTAACAAAAACATAATCCCGAATATATCATATTTTATAATAAATAATCATGCCATATCAGTTGTAGATATTTATTATAATTAAATGTTTCCTCATTATGTTCATGAATTGTATGATTATCCTCTGCTTTCTGTTGTTCTGTTTGTAAAACATAGAAAAAGTGTCTTCAGGCAATGTTCAATTTATTTTTCTGGGTTTCTTTAAGCTGAAAGAAAAATTTATATTATGATTAGTAACGTATAAACTAAATTTGTACCATTTGAAAATAGATTTATAATAATTTCAGATTTATTTAGTAAACAATTTGTGAAGGCTGACTCCATCAATATAGTTAAAAATGTGTAAAACTTATTTAAAAACTGAAATTTTGTAAACACCAAAATATTGGAAAGCTCTTATCCAATTGGGAACGTTCAAAAATAATAAGTTTCACTTCTCTTACAAGATAACTTCAAAGTCAAAGTTTTTTTTCGTACTGGTCGCCTGTAAGCTGTACGTATGCATCGCAAAATATAATTATTTATAGTTTTTATGAAGTTTTGAGATTAAAGTATAAACTTGCTTCGACAGATTTTTACAAATTTAAAGGAAATCTAAAATTATTATTAAATAATTCATCAATCACGTAATAAGTTGATTATGCTTAATATATATATTATTTATTTTAATAAAGCTATTCTTTTGATATCAGGTAATTAATCTGGTGCTATGATAGTTGACATTATTATTTTTAAACGTTTCCTTCAAATTTTGCTAGGAGATTTCAATATTTTGGTATTTACAAAATTTCGGTTTTATAAATATAGTTTAACAAGTTGTTTAACTTATAAAATAATATGATAGGGTAAGTATTGTTCAAAAATTTGTTCATTAAAAATTAATACCTATATCGAAGTGAATTCCTGATATAAAACTCTTTGCATGAGATATTACAATCAACTTATTACTCGAAAATCATAAGTAAATAATGATAAAAATTGATTCCTTATTCCTGAATTCATATAATATAAATAATTATATTTTCTTTACAGCTTAAACCTGACAAACTCGCTGAATTGAGAGAATGAAATATATAAATGAATATATGTTTATATCCAATTGAACATTGCCTGATTCAAGACAAGTAAAGACATCTTTTTCTATCTTGATGGAGTCATCCTAACTAAATAAATACTGTAATTATAATATTTTTAAATGGCTTATTATTTACACATTATAAATTTGAAAAACACCTCTGTTTTTTGTTTAAAAATGAGATGAGAATAATACAATTC